TATTTTGGTTGCACTACCGGTACCTGGCAAAAAGCGACGACAGCTTGTGCCTTTGGATACACCGCAAATCACATAATACAAGTGCTTTGGTTGCAAAATCGGTCAATGTGGCTCATCAAAATTTTGTCACGGATTTTGTCTTTCCAGATATGGTAACCCTATCTTAGAGTTCATCAGCTGCCGTTATTAAAAAGACTTGCTCGAAGTGGTCGCGTGGAAACGCCGAAATAAAAAACGATCGTGCACGGCCACAGGTAACCGATTAATTTTATTTGCGACTTTATCACGCTATTCGCTCCGAAAAAGGCCGGCGCTATTCAAGTACCGCTATCTTTTCTAGCTCGACATTGCCTTCCAGAATTATTACACTACATAAGGTTATTTCCCAGGCCTTTTCACTTTGTTGAGCATGAATTGTTCGACCATAATGGGATTTGGATTCCACCAATGAAAATACCGGTGACAGCACATTTGAACCCACGTACATTTGAACCCATACATTTGCACTCGTATATCCGCGGGTTCAATGTATATGCGGGTGCTAAAATCCATGTATGTATGGGTTCAAATATCTGTAAAACAAAAACAAAAAATTCCATAGGTGCAATAGTATGCAGGTGCAATTGTCGTGGGTTCAAATGTAATGGAGCCTAAATAACACTTTAAATACCACTGGAATAATAAACATGAGAGCTAGAATCCTCCGAAAGGGGGCCACGAGCCATAAAAGGTTAGAAACCACTGGTCCTCATTCTCTGGGGAAAAGGTTGCTTTGTATTTACTGTTGTATTATTAATATATATACTATTAAAAGCTTCTCTTACCGGAACTGAACCCGGAAGAAGACGAATGACCTCGTTTATCAGGAAAGATTAAGTCGTCTATAATCGCATTCCATCCCCCGGATAAAATGTTCTTACTTTTCTTTAAGCTCATTAGCTGGGTTTTATTCCAAATTTTCTACTTCAAAAGTACTTGCATGAGAGCTTGCTATCGCGGTATTATGATGCCTAATGTTTATAAGTAGGACTTCGCGTTATCGTGGATTTCTGTTTTATTGATCTACATTTGCGTTTGTAATGCGGCCAAAATCTCGAGAAATATACGATAACAAGTTGGGAAACACTGCAATAAGCCATTGCACGTATGCACGAGTACTTCATTCACTTTCGACATATTAGTTAATATTGTCACGCATCTAAACGGGATTAAATTAATTATGACGCAATACACGTATATATAGTGACACATACAAAATTATGAATGGTGGTTTACGTAACAGTTGGTCGGTTACGGCTTCCTCCACCATCAAGTCCAGGCATCCGAAAACAAATTACTGGCTAACTAATACCATACACGACATGGACTGGTAACCGGACAAGAGGCTGTGGTTCACCATAGGATTGAACATTCTTATCGGCTTTTCTCTCCCCCAGGATGAATATGCTAATTTTATCCCATCGCACGCACGAATACTTGTAACATTGTAATGCTGAAAGATATCAATTTCGATGTATCAGTTGATATTGTCACGCAACTAAACGCGATTAAATTAATTATGACGCAATACACGTATAGTGACACATACAAATTTATGTCTTCCGCATGTATGAAATAAGCTTTGCCGAGTTAGCTGATAACCTAAATGCTGACATGCACTAGCTAATGGTTTTGAGATTAAAGCCATGATACATTGCTCATGTCTGACAGAAAACAGTTCCGTGGCTTCTAAAAAAGGCTGATTATTCAGTTCAAGAAGCTCTCTCTCTACAAAGCTATTTTCTTCGCTGTTTTGAAGAGTTACATTCACTTGGCTGTTTTCCTGGCAGTGTTCATTGAATTGTTACAAAAGCGACCTTGTTTCCCCGAAAATATGACTGTGCCTTATTGTTCTTTCCATGGAAAAATAACACTAGGGCTTATTTTCGGGGTCTGTCCTTTATTTTCATTTATTAGAGAATTACGAGATTTTCAAGTATACAAAATATGGAAGCCAACCCAACTTTTGATACGTTTGCTAACCTTACTCAAACTGAACTAATCTAAGCCAAACAGATTAGAAAATTAGCATTGAGCCAATAGTGGGATATCACCTAAACTTACTAAACGCACACAAAGTAAGATAGGTATTACTTTCATTTGAAAACAAAACTATTGTTATAACCAAACCCAAAAATTGTTCTAGGCAAAGCCCACGCGACTAGACATTTACACGAAAGTGTTCTCCGGCTGACATAATGTGCCATCCGGTACGGTGACTCAAAAATGTCATGTCTACTTTTTAGCGCGTTTGTCCCCCTGTTCTGGATTACTAGAGGAACATATTGTGGTGAGTCCTGGGTCACAATAGATGTACAATAAGTATACGAAGGGGGATTCTTGGTACGTTTTGAGTTAGGATAGATATAAAACTTTAGGTGAATAGTTAAAGTAAGTATATGAAGTGGAATTTTGCTATGTTCTGAGTTATAGAACAAAAGTTAGAGCATAGGGCTCCTTGTAGCCTATACGAAATCTAGCGACTCCGCGAGCTATTAGTTTACTCATTGAAAAGTTTGTAACTGTCCAAAGAAGCATTAACGACATCAATAAGATTTGATCGTCGAATTGTGGCAACTAGGCGCTAAGTTCCAATAGATAATTCTAATTTTATAAATTCATTGTAGGGATCCGCAAGTAATAGTCAACCTCGGGCTCCATAACACAAAAAGTTTGAGAACTCCTGATCTAGAGTAATCAAATTAAGTAAGATTTGTACACTCGGATACATAAGACGCGACATATTTGAGACACCCTGCATAATACATGCGAGCCCCCCCAACTACACATTCTGAAAAACAATTCCCTTCGTCTGAATATTCAATTCTACAATCCGCGAAACGCTGACTGACTTGAACTATTAATCCAAGAACACGCAGCTAAAGGGCAGCCAGAAGCTATTAACAAACCCGTTAATGTTTCAAAAATTTCAAAGTATTCACCAACGTATTTATGATAGCTTACTTTCCAAATAAAACACATGCAAATACGCAAACGTGCTACTAAGTATAACCAATCAATATGAACGAATAACTGTAAAATTAACGTTACTTTTGTCTACTAATCTTAACAGTTAGCGATTGATCAGTTCGCCATCAGAAAGTCTGTGTCACACGTGACCGGAAATCGTATTTATATCTGAAAATGTTGGAACAACGATGAGGATTTCATATTTTAGGGCCACCCATGAAACGTATTCAAATGATATATAAATTCATTTGATCCATGCTTAATTTAGCGTCGTCTGCTCTGTACTTGTTAGATTGTGATGTAATAAATACCAATGTTACACAATAATGATACTATTATATGAATGCAACATAGGACTTAGCGTTTTTTAGTGGTTAGCCTTTCACTGCTCTCTCTTCTCCAAAGGACGCTCCAGGCGAACATTCTCCGGCGTTATCAGTCCAGGAGTGTGACCAGGCATTTGCGAAGAGGAGAGGGGTTTCTGAAATATCTAACTGTTAGGCCAGTGGTTCTCAACCTTTTATGACTCGTGGCCCCCTTTCGGAGGATTTTAGCACTCATGGCCCCCACTTTGATATTCCAGTATTAATAGGGTTATTTTCATTGATTCCAAATCCCATTATGTTAAAACAATTTGCACAAAAGAGAGCGAAAACACCCTGCGAAATAACCTTGTTGAGCAGCAAACTAGGAAAAACTGTGAGATTTCTTTTAAAGTGAAAAGTAAATTCAGATTTCAGCCCATGCTTGTGGCCCCCCTCCAACTCCTCTGTGGCCTCCTTAGGAGGCCGAGGGCCCCCGGTTGAGAACCGCTGTGTTAGGCCTTAACAGGTAGCGGGTCAGGGTCTAAAAAGAGTTTCAAGCAAAGAAAAATTGCAATGCATGATGCGTAAATGCCCTTCTTACATTTAAAAGATTTGTGTGAAGGGGGTCTGTGGTGTAATGTATGGCAACTATCAGTTCGGGTCAAAGGTCATCCTAGAGCGTTGACTGTTAGTTTCTATGTTCGGCTAGCGTCGTGTGTGCTTCTGTATCCAATATAATCTGTGTGTAATGTTTTGAATAACAAATACAAGTTTCTGCAATACAACATACTGAATCGTAAATCAGTCTGTCAGTGCTGTTAGAAGTAGTCAGATATAATATAAGTACACAACGTAGCAGAACATAACATGTGGTACCAACCCAGAACATCCTCTCCTGGTAATCACACCTCCACTCCGGCCAAATCCCAGTTAGAGAAGTCGCTTCTACTATTTTTGGAAACGCACGGACTCGCAAATTGATTAGACCAGGGGTGGACTTATTGTGCGGCTCTCCTCGCAAACATAAATTATTATGCAAATTTTAACTAAGAGAAAAACTTTAATGTAAACTTTTTAATTTATTAAAAGTTGTAAAGAAGCTTTCGTCAATAATTTGGACAAATTATGTTTTAGTATGAAAATCGCTGTAGCGTTGAATTTAAATCAGTCGAGTCAGCAAATCTTTCGTCACAATGGTCAATGTTTATTGATGCGTTGGCGATATTGCAGCTTGATTGCAAACTCTAAGTTACTGTGCGATGTGTCCAAAATTAGAAAAACGAAAGTACGAAGATGAAAACAGAGTTGCCTTGTTTATCTATTTATTGTTATTGGACTCTTGTGTGGAATTCTTTTCTGTTCATAGTATTTCGATAATATTAATAAATTCACAAATTCTGCGGCTCTTTTAAAGTTCTGACTTGCAGCATGCGGCTCTTATACTAAAAAATTGTGCCCATCCCTGGATTAGGCCCTGTGGTGGGTGCCCATAATTTTTTAGAGCCTATATTCTGAAAAGCCTCCAGAAGTTCACAAATCATAACAAGTTGTGAACCACTGCTTTGAGGATTGAATAAATACCCGAAGCATAGCGAAGGGTGAACGAAGAAATCCAAAGGAGAAAAGGGAAGAAATATATAAAAAAGTTGGAAACTCCTGGCTACAACAACACGAATAACACAAGTCTGACTCCTCTAAATATAATTATATTACATATGAAAGCAAAATAAAAAGCGGAAAGTACCTAAACAATATTACAAGAGTATGAGCACCAAAATTTCATCGTCTTACTTTGAATACAAAACTGAAATGAAAATGGATAACTTATATATATATATATAGATGGGCCTTTCGAATCGTATAGTAAATTATTTTAATCGCGTTAGAGGAAAATTTTGAATTGCCGCCATATTTTTTTCGCCAAAGGCAGAGGTGAAATCCTCAATATTTTTCAAGGCAAATTTTTTTGGCAATGCAATCTTGATATAAGACTCTTTTCTTTCTATTAAGTTGTTGATGAAGCATGTTTTTTATTGTGTGTGATCGCTGAATGAATAAGCAGAGTGATGTTTTCAGTAACTTATTTGCCTGGAGGATCCAGTAAAATAAAAATATCGCATACAATTATATAACTTCCAAGCGTTCTAGATTCAATTTTCAAATCGACTGAAATTAATTCAAAAATGCACAGCCCTAATTAAATATTAGGCTTTGTGATTGCGGGGAAAAGCTCAAGTCGCCAAAAAAAGAATGTAGTTGGGGGTATGGTACGTTTTCTCACATTCATTTGGGTGTGGCCACACAGCTGTTGTCAAAAATGACCCGTCCTCCCACTCTCCTATTTGGAGTTCCTGAAGTATGTGCACCAAGATGGCACACAACCTGTACATGGTATGTGTACCAGGTTAGGATTTAGGCTGTGCGCCATCTTGGTCCACATACTTCGGGAGCGCCTCCCTATTTTGAAATATATACAACGATAAACCAAACCAATAAAGTGCAATTACTGAATATGTAACAACTGCATAAAACTACAACTAACAAATATATAAAAATTTACATTTACCAATAGGTAGGTATAGGCTCGGTTATGGTAGCAACGCTATTATTTTGATAAAAAGTTGTTAAATGAACACCCGAGGACAAAAATACAGGGTGTCCATGTAGTCATGTTACAATTTTAATTTTGATACGAAGTCAGTTCTCAATTTATCTTAGCAGGTTCGTTATATTTTAATCCATGTTTATGAAAAAGTTTTTACTTTTATTATTTTTAAGGAACTCGAAGTGGCAGGTTCGTTATATTTTAATCCATGTTTATAAAATTTTTTAGTTTTATTATTTTTAAGGAACTTGAAGTAGCTTCAGTCACCTCGTAAATAACTGGGATTCAAGAGAAGTTCTGATATTTAGAATGTCAAGTTAGACCGAAACAGCAAGCGGTCGGAGATTGAAAAATATTGAATTTTAGGAGTCTTGAAAGAATAAAAAGCGTTTCAAGTTCAAAGATACATTTCTAGAAGAGGAGGTGGGCCAGACGAGCAAATGCCTCGGACTCACGCTTCCCCAATACTGCCGTGTAAAATTTGCTTGTCATAAATCCCATCGCTCTATATAAGAATAAATAAATACAAAACAGCAAGATCAGCAAGATTTAATATATAGGTATATAATTTGGTCACAAATATTTGCGGAATAATCTTGTCGCATACGAATGATAAGTATAGCTCAATACTCTAGAAATATTCTGCCCGAAGTCTGGCAAAGGTATATTTTCAAGTACAAATCATGAAAATACATCCTACACAGAAAAATTAAAAGTTTGTTTTTGATGAAGTGAGCACTTTTGTATGAAATGGAATATAAATTTCTGAACGTGCACACTTTTAATATCTCTTTTATTTGGGGTATAAAAGAAACAGCCTAAGTAATAAGCAGAAATAGGAATGCATTAAAAAGCTGGGAATTACTGCACAAGAATATAAAAAACAGAATTGATCAAAATATATCCCATGCAGAAAAAATGAGTGTGCACTTTTGCATGAACTGGGCTTTTCCAGAATGGTGGTTACCGAATAAGGCCCATGGGGTAATGTAAGGGGTCAGTATTAATCTAAATTGTACACTGGATAAAATAAACGTAAGAATATATTTCTATTTATATATAAAATATGAGAAAAACAACAAGACTGCATCTTATGTATAAGAGCGTTTTACTAAATCTGCTGCACGTTTTCTACAAGTCTCGGAGCAGATATTTCGCAATGTGCTTCAAAAATATATACGTTGTATTCATTTGCTTCATTTTTCTTATTCACTCAACTGTAACAGATTTGGCCAAATTTCTGGGGAAGTCGACCTGAAATGGAAAATTGAAAAGTTAGTGGCCGCTAACAGGCTTTACAATGGCAAGTGAAGGAACAAATGGTTGAGTAGCAAGTGATACAGCAAAGGTCGGCAAACTTCTGTTGCTCGCGGGCCAAAATTGAAGTTTGCAAGTCATTGGCACAGATTTTTAGAAAGTTAAAAACCGAAGGAATGGCGAATGAATCACATTTTTTCACACAGATTTCAGTTAAATTTCAAGCAGTGCGCGAAGACTGATCATTTGAATATTTTCTGTGTCACCATTTGCACTCAGCATCAACTTTTTACGTTCTGTTGCCATTTATCTAATTATAATCAATTATAGGCTCATTACCGAGTGATTGTGAATTATACACTTGTTAGGTTATAATATAATTTGGTGCCTCAAAACAAATTCTGTCACGTAAAGAATATAATTGTCAATACAGCTGTTTTGTTAATATAATTCAGCGAAGCGTCGCGGACTGGATTACATTGCACCGCGGGCTAGATCCGGACTACCGGCTGTAGTTTGCCAACCCCTGTGATACAGTATAGCCAACGTCTCGGATGTCAGACAGCACAGAAAAATAATGGTGCTCCCGAAGTATGCGAACCAAGATGGCGGACATCGGAACGTAACATGGGTAACAGGTTAGGGTTAGGCAATAATTTTTCCCAATTTTCCTTATTTTAGTCCTATTATCAGTTCGAAGACTAGCCAAGAGCCTCCCGTAGTATTTATAGCTAAAATTATGGCCTAACCCTAACCTATTACATTCCGATGTACACATATTACATTCCGATGTCCGCCATCTTGGTTCGCATACTTCGGGAGCCCCAAAATAATTGACTAGAACAGCGGTTCCCAACCAGGGACTGTGGGGCTCCCTAAGGGGGCCGCAGAGCCCTAGCCCCAAGGCCCTGTGACAGAAACCTGGGGCCTCTGTGTGAGCTATTTGCTTATTAAAATACTAACTTGGCTAATTTTGTAAGTATCTAAAACTACCAAGTAAATATATAAAGTAATTTTAATTTACTCAGGAACTTTAATAAGAAGTAACAATGTGTTTTTCGTTTTCAATTTTTTATAAATTTATTGTGTGGCTCCGTAAATAATACTCAGCTTCTCCACGGGCTCCAAAACACCAAATGTTTGGGAACCCTTGAGTTGAGATGGGGCAGTAACCTAATCCAACAACAGATTTGGAAGTCAGTGAGATAATAACAAGATACCATCAAGTCCCCCAAACGGTGTTCTCGTAGTATGTGCACCAAGATGGCGGACACAAGAATGTAGTATGTGTACCAGGTTAGGGTTAGGCCATAATTTTGGGTACAAATACTACGAGAGTCACTTGTCTAGTGCCCGAACTCGTAATAGAACTAAAATAAGGAAAATTGGAATAAAATTATGGCCTAACCCTAAACTGGTACACACACTACGTTCGGGTGTCCAGCATCTTGGTTCCCTTACCCCAGGAGTATCCCCCAACCTAGCAGACAAAACAAAATAAATTACTTACATCAAGGCCCTTCATAACCGCCATATGATATGAAAGCAGCTGCAGAGGAATGACTGTTAATATTCCTTGCAAGCAATCTACCGTTTGAGGTATTCTTAAAACATGGGAAGCACACTTTGGCGACTCTTGGTCTTCCTTGTCACAGATTATGATTGGTCGACCCTGTAAAATAAATAGGAATATAAATTGTTGTGTTGCCTGGTCAAAGTAACAATCTCTACAGCTGAGGAAATCAAATTCGACCTGTGGAAGCCTGAAAAACCATTTATAAAAAAATAACATGAGTTTTCGGCAGGGATGTGGGTCAGCAAAATTCACAATAAACTTCGACACATTGGTTGACTAAAAAATTAACGGGGCTCCCGAAGTATGCGAACCAAGATGGCGGACATCGGAATGTAATATGTGTACTAGGTTAGGGTTAGGCCATAATTTTAGGTATAAATACTACGGGAGGCTCTTGGCTAGTCTTCGAACTGATAATAGGACTAAAATAAGGAAAATCGGAAAAAAATTATCGCCTAACCCTAACCCGTTACGTTCCGATGTCCGCCATCTTGGTTCGCATACTTCAGGAGCACCAAATTAACTTACACTTGGTGGGGCTGTATTAACCGGGAAAAGTTACACTTTGGGTTTACAAAATTTAAACTAGAACTACAGGTTGTAAAATCTTTAAGACTCCAGTTCCAAACTCAGAGAAAACTAAATATTTAAAAATTAAAAACATTGGTCAACCCTGTGAAATAGTATGAAAAGATAGGGGCTGTGTTATAACTTCTCTGTGTCAGCAACGTAAAAAACGAATTTTTGGCCAGATCTCTGGGTTTACTGAATTCAAAATTTGATTGTTGATTGATTTGAAACAGATTGTAAAAATATTAGACTCCGTCTCTGAGAAAATCAGATTATGATCTGTGAAAGCTGTGCTGACACTGTGAAAAAAATAGCTTGCAACCACTTTATAGTCCCAAGACATTTGGAAATGGCTTTCCTGAGGCTATAACATCGCCTGAAAAATAAATAAAAAACCCCCTCGACTTACATGTCTTGCAACCACTTGCTGTAAAGCGTTCTGGCATTTCCCAAAGACTTGATCCTTGACGATAATCATCAACACAGGCATATCACTGTCAACCAATGCAAGGGGTCCATGCTTCAACTCCCCGGCCATAATTCCTTCGCTGTGCATGTATGTGATCTCTTTGATTTTCTGAAAATATACAATTCAGACTTTAGAACAGTGGTTCTCAAACGTTTTAGAATTTGTCAAGTCTCGCGTCCCACCTCAAAAATAACTAGCTAACAATAAGCTACAGATAAAAAATTGTAAGGCAAAAAAATACTACATTGAGTACTTAAAAAACGCCCGTCCCTCTGGCAAATTGACAGCATAAGTAGGATAACAGTCAATTTCAATTTTGTCATGAAGTCAGTTCTCAATATATTTTAGCCAGGTTTGTTGTTTTTAATCAGTAATTATTCAGTAATCACTAATAAGTTTTTTACTTTATTTAATACATCTGTGAGGGCCAAAACAATATATGGTATCAATAAATTCCTTTTGCAATTTTGAAATATTTCAGACCTTCATGGACACTCTATATGTTTTATCATGTATCGAGCATTGAGCTTTGTTTTAGACAACTATAAAAACATAAAGCAATACTCACCAAAGCCCCTTCTAAGCACGTAGCAAAATTATATCCTCTACCCATCACCAATAATGACTTGTGCTTGTGCAGTTGCTCAGACAGATTCACGATTTCTTGGTCAAGAGACAGAACTTCTTTGATCAAATCTGGGATAGAGAAAGAAATGCTAGAAAAAATATCTTTTTTACAACACGACTTATTCAGCACAAATATATCATAATGTAGAGAAACTAACACTAGAAAAAAAGATTCCATGAAAATAAATAATCTTGAATATAGAAAACGAAAGTGCAAAGGCTGAAATTTGAAAAATGAATTCCAATCTAAAATATTATAAAGAAATAGGTTCTTTTAAGTAAGTATGATTTTCATTTTGTAATAATATTCATTCATTGTGTTTACTGAGAGTAATTTTTATAAGTTCATTTCCCACAAACAGCACCTGAATTGCCCACTAGTGGGGAAATTACCCAAGCTCCCTTAGATATCAGTAGCCTGCTCAAATTGAAAACCTGTCATGGAAAAAATGGTACAAAAAATAGGACATTGGTTGGATTTCAACATTCCCAATCCAACAACGAGAATATCGGTCAGAGACCAAAGACTTATCGATCGAAAGTTAGGGGAACCCCCAAAACAGCGCTCTTACTCCATAGTGACACCTTGTGTCCCATCACTAATTAATTAATAACCCGCTAATTATACGACATAATTCGCCCAAAATCAATAGGCTACTGGTACGAGATATGATGAATGCACATGCAAAATCTGCAGCAGATCCAATCTCACTTTCGTGAGATATCGCGTGCATCTAACAGTCAAACAGACAGACAGATAAACAGACAAATACCTATCAACATACTTACCGATTAAAATCGATAAGTAAAGAGAAACACTTCATTTGAAATGGCAGTTGTAAACACTTTTTCTATTCTCAATTTAACTATGAACACACATCATCTGAAGGACTGAATTACACTTCAATAAAATTGTCATCATATTGCATAAAATGACAGTCATTAGACCAGCGAATCCAAACGGCGGGGGCGTGTCCCACAAAAGCAATTTTTAAGGGGGTGCGTAGCTGATTGAAAATGAAAATATTTGTTGAATTTGATGTGGTGCGCCTTATTTTGGATATTTACATTTATTAATTGTCTAGAGATTGCAGAGTGATGTTGTGCCTGTTGTTATCCGTAGTCTATTATTACCCATCGATTTTAATCGGTAAGTATGTTGATAGGTATTTGTCTGTCTGTCTGTCTGTATGTCTGTTAGATGCACGCGATATCTCACGAAAGCGAGATTGAATCTGCTCCAGATTTTGCATGTGCATTCATCTTAACTCAGACCAGGAGCCTATTGATTTTGGGCAAATTATGTCGTATAATTAGAGAGTTATTAATTAATTAGTGATGGGACACAAGGTGTCACTATGGAGTAAGAGCACTGTTTTGGGGATCCCCTAACTTTCGATCAATAAGTCTTCGGTCTCTGACTGATATTCTCGTTTGCTATTTATTATTGAGATGGGGCGCAAGACTTGACAAACTCAAAGGGGGTGCGGCTTAAAAAGTTCGAGAACCACTACGTTAGACACTTGACAATAAAATAATTAAATACAGGTAACACTGTGAACTTACCAGGTAACGCTTTCAGAGCATCGAATATCTCGTCGTATCTCTGTCGTTTGGAGTAACGATCCTCACACATCATCATGGCGAACATCACCAAGGCAACAAATTGACTGGTGTATGCCTGAAAATAAATTTCTATTTGTCATTATGGGCGAAAAGAAAAGAGAAGATATCAATTACCGCAAACTCAATGACTAATATAAAACAATCATTTCTACCCCCAGACATTACCCCATAGTGCGAAGGCAGTCATCAGCGAGTTTTTGAAATGATGGTGTAGCTTTACCTAGCAAAATGAATGCTGCCAAGTTTTAAGTTGTAATACTTCCTACATATACAACTAGAATATCGGTTAGAAACCGAAGACTTATCGATCGAAGGTTAGGGGATCCCCCAAATCAGTGGTCTTACTTCATAGTGACACCGAGCTATGATGAATGCACGTGCAAAATTTGGAGCAGATTCAACCTCGCTTCCGTGAGATATCGCGTGCATCTAACACACAGACAAACAGACATACAGACAGACAAATACCTATCAACATACTTACCGATCTGAAGATCGATAAGTAATTACTATTGAGCAACACTGCAATACCAAATATATAATAAACAATAAATTTAAAATAAAATAAAATTAGTAACGTTTAGGTTTTCGTTAAAAAACAAGCAGAAGCAACCCAAAAAAATTTAAAGGCGCCCAAATGACTGCACCCCATAGGTTGGGAAACACTGGTATACACAATTTATTACAGCCTGGGTAAGGTTAAAACATGGGATCTGAAACCAAAGATTTGTGATCTATAATTCAATATAGTTAGGTTTTAGGATTTACATATTTATCACAGGAGAGGAAAAGCCGATAAGACGGCATAATCATACAGTGAACCACCGCCTCTCGTCCGGTTGCCAGTCCATTTTGGGTATGATATTAGTTAGCCAGTTATTTGTTTCCAGATGCATGGACTTGATGGTGGAGGAAGCCGTAACCGAACAGCGGTTACGTGAACCAACCTACGGCGGAAAGAAGTCCAGCAATCTTCTCGCACATAAATAATAGTTGCTTTTTACTTGGCTGCTTGTATAGTGACCTATACAGAGCTGAAGACACTAACAAGCGTCAATTAAAATAATTTGCATTGCCCATCATCCCGGCATGCATTTTCAATTAAATTACACCCTGTGATGATGATGTGTTTTTGTTTGTTCGTGTGTCTATTGTGCAATCGACCAGCGGTCACTAATACCACTTTACAGCGGCAAAGAGTCCAGGAATCCTCTCATACATAATTAAAAGTTAATTATTAACCATTAATTATAAGTTCTATGAATATCTTACCTTTGTAGAAGCCACTCCAATCTCAGGTCCAGCATTGATATGAACACCACAGTCAGTCATGCGTGAAATTGTGCTGCCAACGGTATTTGTAACGCCAACAGTCAATGCACCGTGGTTCTTGCAGTATTGTAATGCCATCAGAGTGTCTGCGGTCTCGCCGGATTGGCTGTAAATGAGAATATACAAGATGTAGGAGTTTGTTTTCATGGGGAATTTCATATTTGTGTTCAAAGCACTAAGCCCAGGGAGGCGTTTATTGCTTTCGGGGTAGTATTGGTTGTATATGTCGTTTTTCAAATGATGAGTGAGTGTACTAAAATAATCATTTTTATGTCTAATTGTTTATATCTATAGGATCGCGTGAGACTCGATGAGGCCGTTGTTCTACCAGTATCAAATTGCAACTCTTCACAAGTATGAAACTTTACTTTTATTTCACGCATTCTTCGTCAGAAATATTTTAGAACACGTCAATTGAAAAACAATGAAAACAGAATCCGGCGCTCCGGAAGTATGTGTACCAATATGGAGGAAACCTAATTTTGTTCGCCTACTTTACATCAAGTTGTGTAAAGGGACTGAAACCCATAGGTATATTCACTTGGCTAATACGAACAGTCCCTGAACTCGTAATAGAACCAAAATAAGGAAAATCAGAATAAAATTATGGCTTAACCCTAACCTAGTACACACACTACGGCAGTACCCAGAATTTGGAAATAGACAAAAGGAGGTCAAATTAGGGGTGCAACAGCTGTTCTGACCGGGCAAAAAAAAGTTGACACATCATATCTGAAGAGGATACAAGAGGGCCACAGAGCAGAGAGGGCACCACAATCCTGGCGCAAAATCCCACTTTTCACTTTACAAGAAAACTCCCCAAAGTGGCAACAAGCCATAAAGGTTTAGAACCACAGGTCTAATGGTTAAACCATTTTATCAAAGTCAAACTATGACGACATTTTAAAAATCCTGAATTAGAACTCGTCTCCTAGTTTCCCAAATATAATAAATTGAGTAAGAAGTGCCAAAGTGGTGCAGATTATCCCTATTGTTTCAGTGGTGTCTTGTACAAGTCTTGCAAGAGGCTGTATGTGATTTTATTTACCTAATCTTGAATTTTTGTAGATTATTCTTACCTGATGAAAAAGCAGACGTCATCTCTGAATATAGGAGTGCTTCTGTCAAGGAAATCACTTGCCAATTCAACCATGACCGGAAGTTCTGTCAATTCTTCAAGAAGTTGACGAGTCTGAAATAAGAAAACATGAAACAGAATTAACAATGGTCATATACTCAAATTACATCAGAGCACACCTTAACGAGGAGATGTGTCAAAACTCGTTCAGAGATATAGAGTTTGAGAAAGCGTTCTGGCTGAAACTCCACTTCTTAATAATTGGAGTGATGGGCTAGTGCAGCAGTTCCCAACCTTCGGTCCATGTCTCCAAGGAAGCCACAGAGCAGTTGGTGTGAGAGCACAATGATAGGCGCACTGATTTAACAATTCCCTTCAACAGAAAATTCTGTTCTTCAGGGTTTCATTACTCGATAAGGCTATTTTACAGCGAGTGTAAACTTTCTTGCGCATGAATTCCTTGAACACAGTGGGATTTGGAATTAACTAATCAAAGTAACACTATAAATACCAGTGGAATGATAAACTGGGTGTCATGAGTGCCAAAAGCCTTTGGAATGGGGCCACGAGCCATAGAAGGTTGGGGACCAATGGGCTCGTGGCTGAAATGTCAGGCAACCCCCCAGCCCTGGCATAGTTCTTTAACAGAACATACTAAAAGATGAATATTGTGCCAAAATAGAAAGACTGGCATCTCTAAAAATTATCAGATATATAGAGTGTCATAAAGTCTTTAAGACATTTATCAATACAGATTAAAAAACGAGAATATCGGTCAGAGACCGAAGACCGAAAGTTAGGGGATCCCCCAAAACAGCGCTCTTACTCCATAGTGACACCTTGTGTCCCATCACTAATTAATTATTAACTCGCTAATTATACTACATAATTCATCCAAAATGAATAGGCTTCTGGTTCGACATATGATGAATGCACATGCAAAATCTGGAGCAGATTCAGTCTCGCTTTCGTGAGATATCGCTCGCATCTAACAGACAGACAAACAAACGGACAAACAGACAGAGAAATACCTATCAACATACTTATGTTGATAAGTAACAACAAACCTGGTTAGGATATATTGAGAACTGACTTCATAACAAAATTGAAATTGTGAAGGGACTTTATGGAGAGCCTGTATATTCACTCTGGTAATATTGCCAATGCAACACATCTATTGTAATAGTAAGAAGAATTTACTTACAGCAATAGCAGAATGATAGCTGGTCCCGCAAGCAATGATAATAATTCTTCTGCATCGTCTTATCTCTGTAATATGGTCAGCCAATCCTCCAAGATGGATGCGCCTCTCATCCCACAATACTCGTCCTCTCATGGTATTTACGACAGATTCTGGCTGCTCAAAGATTTCCTGAATGTAGAAATATAATATGAAGAGTAGGCTAGTGCAGGAGTATGCAATCTTTACTACAGAAGGGCCTGATACAAATAACTGAGTGAAGTCGCGGGCCGCACCTTCATTTAATATAGGCTTTCTAGTAGTCGCAGGCACAAAAAATTTGGTGCTCCCGAAGTATGCGAACCAAGATGGCGGACATCGGAACGTAACATGGGTAACAGGTTAGGGTTAGGCGATAATTTTTTTCCAATTTTCCCTATTTTAGTCCTATTATCAGTTCGAAGACTAGCCAAGAGCCTCCCGTAGTATTTATATCTAAAATTATGGCCTAACCCTAACCTAGTAAACATATTACATTCCGATGTCCGCCATCTTGGTTCGCATACTTCGGGAGCCCTCAAAGATTTGGTTATTGATCATATGATATGTACACTTCGCACAAGCTAGCTGTTAGGACATTTAACGTCATAGGCATAGATCATAAACTGGACTCAGGTAAAGGCTTTGCAACGCAAAGGAATTGGAATTCATGTACCAGATTAAACTAAAATTAAAACTGGTTTCGCAGGTCAGTAGGGGGTTGAAATTTCAAATTGCCAGGTTAGATCATATCAGCTAGCTGACAATGCGAGTCTGTGGGTCTAAAAAGCATTTAAAGCTATGAAAAATTGCAATGTATATTACAGAATTTTTTTTCACTATTCAAAAGGAGGGGGGTTTTCAACCTGCACCACCCCTGGCTATTCCCCTGTCAACGACCCGGTTGAGACTGGGACAGGACTGTAATTGACATTCAACAATAAGACTAACCTTTTGCATGAAAGAGCTGAATTCTCCTTTCATGATTTGAGCCATTTCCATCTGCAATGAAGTGATTACTCGCGCGCCACTCTCGTTCACATTTCCACGTTTTATACGGTGAATAGAAAGACCTGGAAAAAGAGGAATTGGGATGAAAATACATGGAAATAGGAAAAGAAAATAATGAAACGGGAAAGCATGGCTGTGCAGTCAGATTTTAGCTCTGGTTTTCATTGGAGCCAGATTTGGCATTTCTATTCAGAAACTACATCGGTGTAAATGTAATATGGTAAAGGCTCGATGGATAAGATACAGATGGCTCGTAAGCGATAACCCGTTCCGCCATGTCATTTAGTGTGGCCCTTGTCAATACTTCGGTTTTTCATTATTAAGCATGACATCTTGATCGGAAAGTTGGCATTTCAAAAGGGGGGGGGGGGATTTCCGACAACGTCTCTGTGCCTAAATTCTTGGCACTAGAATAGATGATACTCAAGCATGTCACTGTACAAAGATTAATTGGGTAGTCAACCTTTGCTACTCAAGAATCAGTTCATTATAACACAACTTTTCACACTTTCACTCTGTATGATCCTCACAACGCGCCTAATAACAGTTGTAGAAGCAAGCACACTTCATCAAAGTTTCTGACTCTTCAACATTTGATGTAACTCTAACACATTGCATTTCAAAAAATGAAGATTTTTTTGCTGTTAGGTTTGCTTTTAAATCTATGTAGTTTTTATATGTTGCTTTTTTATATATGGAACTTCTCATTGGGGTTTCGCTTCACTGGATAGGTCAAAGTTTGCTGGCCTAGGCACTAAAGATACAACTCTAACACTTGATGCAACTTCTAACACATCACAGTTCAAAGAGTAAATATTCAGGAAGTAGGTTCAGAAAGTATATTAGTTCTTTATCAAGTATTGATCTCCAGTATTGATTTGATTACAACGTTTTGTCAGGCACCTCTATGCTTCCTCATATTAAACCATACAGACTAATTCTGCAAGCCTGTAGACTTAGCAATCATAAAAAAAAAAAATTCTATGACCTAGTACCCTGACAAAAGAAAACTGCCTATACCAGAATAAGGATAATTCTATTTTTTATATATAAAGTTAAATATCATTATTTCAAAATTTGAATTGCAATTGGTGTTCAAATTGAAAACATTTCAAATTGAAAACTTATCGGAACCAAAAACTCATTTTTGATTAACTTTACTCTCATCACCTTTTTAATACGTTTACTTTTAAACTTAATTTTGATGAGTGTGCAAAAAACTACCTAATTCCACCAACTGTCTGCACCCTTTAACAACTTTTCTAATAATACTTTTTTCAAATTTATATTTCAATTGGTGTTCATTTAAGACCAAACATGGGCAAAGTATGGCCAGCAAACCAAATCTCGCCCGCTACCTACCGTAATTCAACCTGGCTCGCCTGATATTTAGATAAAAAAAAAAGCCTAATAAATTTGTAAGGATTGCGATAAAATTTAGTTTTGGCACAAGGCTTATTGTTTTCCACTCTTGCTTTTGTAACACTGTAAATATTCTTCACAAAATAACTTTTACGTCATACTTACATGGCCCACCTCTCTGGGTAAGCAAAATTTATGACCCCTGTCCCCTGGCCCAAAAACCTTGCCGCCCCTGATCAAGACGCTCGACAAACTACTAAATTCCTAAAACTCTTAAGAATAACTTTCTGTTATCATTTGTAATTTCTTTCAAATTAATTCTCAACAGGCTAGTCCTATTACACTTGACTTGTATTGATATACTGTAATCAATCATACATATATCATTGACAATGACACGGTACTAAGAATTGTTTGTTCATAGAAATGATTATTGTTTGGTCATAATGTGTGATAAAAGAAAAAGTGAAACTTTCTGAAAAGCATATTTGAATATGTGATTAACCTTAGTAGTCACGAAGTAATGAGTGTTTGAACCACGATAACGATACTGACGTCTCATGTTGGAGGTATCGGTGCTGAGATTCTAAAAATAGCGTTCCCTTTGTTCCCTCCCAGTGGCTTTGTTTGAAAAGGTTTTTTTTTGTTACTTGGTTTCTTGTTACTTAGGCCTAATTTAGGTGATCCTGCTCAATAACCATGACTGGTATATCAAGTCTGTCACACTGAAATGCACTTTTTTTTACCTTTCCTAATTCTGTATGTACAATGTGTATTTTCAACATGTGTGAAAATAAACTCCTAACTGACTGTTATTGTGAAACGTAAAGCACTCCATGCACTATAGCAAAACAAACTTTGAGAGCAAAAAAAATATTTTTTTAGAAATCCAATTAATTAAAATTACTGTTTTTCTCAGTAAATTCGGCCCCATTTAACAGTGGTAACATAGAAAAATATGACATACAAGATGACTTTGTTGTTATTTGATTCCAATATTAATCTCCAAAAGAATATATGAGGCATGTTGGATACCCTGACAGAGGAAGTCTTTTTCAGTGTTTTTACCTGACAGTATTGAGTTGACATGGTATTAGAAAATTTGTATGTCAACTAATATTCTTTAATACTTTTTTGATTCTTTCTCAAAGCCATTTTGACAGTACTTTTTCTGACTTTATGATTTAAGCAAAACCACCAATGCAACCAACATGCAACAATTTTTTCTGCAAACAATGTGATTCCCCTTTTAAAAAAATGATTAGGAGCCACACACAATATCAGACATCAATATCAACATTTGAAACATTTTCATAAATTATCTGAATAATATTTCAAGGTGGGACTTTGGCGAAATGGCTCAATGGAGGTTTACAGTATGTTTCAAGAACATTTTTAAAGTATTGCTAAGAAAGCATATCAAACAGATGAGAAAAACAGTTACAGACATGACGAAACCAAATGTTGAAGCTTGAGTAGGATGAGCAAATTTTATTTAAAGAAACAGAGGAGCACGCCTCCCCCAGCCGAAAAAAAGAAAATTCGTTGATGAGCCATCATGCGTGACAGAACTATTGTTACATCACAACTTTGATTTTAGTTGTTTAAGTTGTGAATAACCATGATTAAGAAGGCGGTTTCAATTACCAATGACAAATTACCGTGATTTATTTAAACAAGAGTAACGGTTCCCCATGACGCTGTTTTTGACAAACAAACTTATCAAAATTAATATACGACCTTGAAATGAACGACCTTTACCAACGTTATCAAACATTCAAACGTGCAAAAGAACGAATACTTGATCCCATGAATTACTGAATCTCAGCAACTGTATTTACTATTGAGAATCGGCCACAAATGGGGTCAAAAGAGGTTTAAAAAGAGGGGGCTCCCGAAGTATGCAAACCAAGATGGCGGGCATCGGAATGTAATATGTGTACTAGGTTAGGGTTAGGCTATAATTTTAGGTATAAATACTACGAGAGGCTCTTGGCTAGTCTTCGAACTGATAATAGGACTAAAATATGAAAAAATATACACATATTACATTCCAATGTCCGCCATCTTGGTTCGCATACTTCGGGAGCCCCCCATTATGTCTACGAGTCCGACGTTCGGAATAATATCTCAGATGAAATTCCTTTACAAGTTATAAAATTCCATCTCATAAAGTCATGTCAATAAACCGAACCAAAAACATATTTTTTTCCTGAACATTAATCAATATATGAATTGATTACCTCATAAAATTGGTGAAAAATAAGTTATAGCTCATAATAAAATATTAAATATGATATTTACTCTTTGTTTTGGGCGTTTCCAAAGTCTGCATCATATGTATTTATGACTTGAAGATTAATATAGGAGAAATTCCAGGGATAGATATGAAACTGTCAATAAATTTAAATTTTAACTCTGTTCTGGTTCGGGCAATTTTATTTTAGAAGTGTTCTCATATCGCTCCTCCAGACAACCAGTACTCGACTGGGTCATGAAGTGAATATTTTGCGCAACAGAAAAATCATCATGCATGGGAATTCCTGATTCCGATTTTGAACTCAAGACGTGACAAAATATAAATAAATCGAGCGGCCACCGTCGCAAGTTTTTTGGAAAAAACTATTTGATTACAACACTAAACGATAATGATAAGGACATCACTACTGCTATGTTCTTTGGGCGTTTCCAAAGCCTGTATCATACGTATTTATGACTTGAAGATTTATATAGGAGAAATTACAAGGATAGACATGGAAACGTCAATAAATTTAATTTTTCAACCATTTAAGATAGTTCTGGCAATTTTAATCTGAACACATCACCAGTACTTGACTAGAACTAATCGGACAAGAGGCAATTTTTTGCCATAGATGAAACTGACTAATTTATTTAGTCTACTGATTATAAGAAAATCCTACTCTATCCACTTCTCTCTCTCAGAAGTCCGAGTATTTAAAAATCCTATCCTATTTATACTATGTTATATATTAGTTCACATCTTGCTTTGCTTTTCATCAAACTACAAACATTAGGGACTCTCCACATGACAATTATCGAACGCCAAAACCATATTGGATTTATAAAGTCGTAACCCTCTTTTTCTTTTAGTTGACAAAAACCAGACAATTGGAGATATGCAGATCAGCGGTTCCCAATATTTCATGGCTCACCCCCCCCTGTTTATCATTCTTGTGGTATTTATAGTGTTACTTTAATTGATAGTAGATTCCAAATTAGGATTGAGAATTGAGTAGATTCCATTATGCTTAAACAATGCATGTTCAAAGAAGTGAAAACACCTTGTGAAATACCCAGATCAAGTATTGAAACCAGGAAGAACAAGGGTTTTCTTGTCAAGTGAAAAGTAAAATCGTTTTTTTTTGCCGAGCATTATGGCCCCCCCCAACTGCTCTGTGGGCCCCTTGGGAATCGATTGGGTACCGCTGATATATATGGGGGAATAACTGTAGAAAACTAACTATTGGATACTGGAGACCGACAACCAAGGCGCACACAATATAAACTTTATAGATTAACTATTTGAAATAGAGAATTAACAAATGGGGATAAAATACCACCAGATTAATAAAATATATTCATAACAAAATCATTTCTTTTTCAGTACGGAGAACAGTAAAATTAATTAGCTATTCCATTTTAAAGTCTTAAATTTCAATTTCTGATCTGTGTAAAAATGTGATTCATCAGCCACGCGTTCGGTTTTTAACTTTCTTAATATGTTTCTCATAGGATCACGTAATAGCTAAGCACGGCATTTCCAGTTTTTTTTATCCCTTAAAGTATTTGTCAATATTCTAAGTTTGCTAATAATGATAACAAAGTTTACTTTGTCTCACTGGGTGACACAGTTCTAAGAATCGAAACAGGAATTTCCAATAACGTCATGATGTTTGTGTTTAATATTTAGATTGTTCTAGTTAGAGATTGAAAGTTAACTCAAAAGTTTGTACCATAGATAACAAATTTACAATATAAGTTTCATTTTAATTTTTCAAAAAGTTCTGAGAATCTAAACGACAATCTTAAATAACATCATGATCTTTGTGTTTAATATTTACGGTAAATTGTTCTGGTTAGAGATAACGAGTTAACAAAGGTTTGTGAACAGTGTTCCTTCTAAAGTGTGAGCGTGTGCGCGCGCAAACAGCTTTCAGAGGCTGCGCACACGCATAGATTTACTGCGCACAGACGTATTTCGATGTAATGTAACAATGCTCTCGGTTGGCAGGTTGAGAAAGTTTGTTGTTGGCCCACTTATTATTACCCGGTTAGAACGCCAAAATTTATTCATTTGTTTTTGCACAAATATTAGTCATTTCCAAAAAAGTGCGAACACCAGAATTTCTGCGCACACATACTACAAAAAATTAGAGGGAACATTGTTTGTGATAAATTCCAGAGATAAAATTCCAAATTTACAATAATGACTAGTTTCATTTCAACTTTTTGTTCTTTTAAAACTGTGAAGTTACTAAAAAAAGATCTAAGAATTTAAAACGGCAATCTTAAATAATGTCAAGATGTTTGCGTTTAATATTTACGGTAGATTGTTCTAGTTAGAGATTGAAAGTTAACATAGGTTTGTATTGAAAATTTAATTCCAAATTTACAATAAGTGAAACACTTTCATTTTTATCATTGTTCTTTTTGAAACAGGAAAGTTATAAAATAAAAAGTTCTAAGAATTTAAAACAGCAATCTTAAATAATGTCACAATGTTTGCGTTTAATATTCAGAATATTTAAAAAAAAAGATAAGTGGGTGTTGACAGAGATTGAAAGCTCACATAAGGGTTTTTCTGAAAAACTTTGGTTTGGAGAGAAAACAACTTTTGTGCAATGCATCCCAGATTACTGAACATTTGGGCACAATCATACATGAACAGAAGTTCAAGTGTTAAATAAAATTTATTCATTTTGGTAAGAGTGATCAAAAAATTTATGAGTCTCGTTTTCGTACTAGGTTATATTCAAAAATCGTGATAAACCGAAGAATGCGTAAGCCAAAACACAATAATAACACAATGGACGTTTCCCCAACCCTTGACACCTGAAAAATTCTTCCTATACTTTATTATTCTTATTTTGCAGGTGCTCTGCGTACTTGATATTCACAGCTGATTTACATGCTCACAAAGCCATTATTTTTAACAAAATATAAAACCATGTGCCTAGATAATTTTAGTCTAGCCAATTGCAACCCTTCAATAAGACTTCATAAGCTCAAAGAAGATAATTTTTTAAATAAATATTCTAAATCGTACCTGAGCTCAACAATTTTTATTTATAAATATGGTTTATCTTACATCGCTGTTCTCAGTACACTAGTGTGAGAAAAATCAGAAAATGTGCAGTCAGCTATGACCAGGCAGAACAAATAACATACGTACCTCCTTTTACCACTGCTGCCACATCATCATCTTCCAAGTAAATGACTCTGTTTGTATGCTCAATGATTGCACTGTTAGAAAAGTTGAAATATTAATATCAGTTAACGCAATAACAATATGAATAGAAATGTATTTTAACAATTAACATGACCATTCATACATAACAAGTTATATGTTACACATTATTATCGTATTTTATGACTTTTTATGGTGCTCCCGAAGTATGCGAACCAAGATGGCGGACATCGGAACGTAACATGGGTAACAGGTTAGGGTTAGGCGATAATTTTTTTCCAATTTTCCTTATTTTAGTCCTATTATCAGTTCGAAGACTAGCCAAGAGCCTCCCGTAGTATTTATACCTAAAATTATGGCCTAACCCTAACCTAGTACACATATTACATTCCGATGTCCGCCATCTTGGTTCGCATACTTCGGGAGCCCCCTTTTTATTCCTTTTTTCTAAAAAATCGATCATGCACCCAATGTATGGATTAACACTCAATTACGGAAACATTAAAATCAGTGCAAGTATTGCTTTAAAACCGGTGAGCCTCATCGCCCAATGCGGTTTACGGTCTGCAAAATAGGTTATACGCTATCAAGTGTGGAATAGATGAGAAACTTTAATAGTATTTAGAGCATTATCCTTGGGCTGCAGGTGAAAGTGACGAGCCCGTCAACAAGGGGCGCACCCAGGGGGATTGAGGAAAAAACATTTTGAATAGTAAAAAAGGAAGTTTTCTGTATCAAACATAGCAATTTTTCGTAGCCTGCAACGCTTTTTAGACCCATGTTTCTCTCCAGCTGGCCCCTGATAGCTGTTACGGTCATGGCAATTAGAAATACTCCCTCCCCCCCCCCCCCCTTTAAAAATTCATGGCTATGTCTCTGCTGTCAGCAGTGTATAGTGTGTATAGTGTATAGTGTGAATGTGATAAAGCGAGGTGGCCCCAAATCCTGATCCGCTTGCATGGAGACTAGTTCTGAGGAAATTGTCAAAACAACACAAACCTTGCATCTGAAGCAAAATAAAACTCAATTCCTCCTTCTGCATCTTGAGTTACGACTTCAGATCTGCTTTCTGTTCTTTCCAATGTCGGTTTCATTGCTGGAAAGAAGGAATTAATGAATTACATGAACTTTTGATGAATATAAACTACTTGAATTAACAGATAAAAATGAATTGCTGAAAACATGAATTACCGAAAAAGCAGAAGTTTGAAAAAAAAACAATAATTCAAGATTTTGTTCACTCTGAACAAGGCATCGTGCAAGCAGCCACTTGTGTGAGGGGAGATACCATAATTTGAGAGGACTGCAATTTATTTCCGTATTGCCTTCCGGCAAATTAAGGTCGGCCGACCAGATCCAGTCCACCGAAGTGTTTCATTTGGCCCACTTGCGTCTGTTGGAATTAGGACTATAGTTTTTATGGATATGTATTTCCGTTGAAAATAACGAAGAAAATATCGTCATAATAACCCAGATTGTCACTTTGTGCTTCTTATGATAATACAAACGTTGGCCTAGCTGTTGGACTATCCCTATAAATTGATTATAATTAGACAATTGGCAACAGAACGTAAAATAGTTGATGCTGAGTGCAAATGGTTCAATGGCGCAGAAAATAGTCAAATGTTTTCACGCGCTGCTTGAAAATTAAATTTTCGAAATGAAATGCTTTTTATTCGTATTTTTTCATATTAAGATTTGAGCTTCCAGCCCAGTAACAGAGTCTATTATCTGTAACTGACCCACTCAAGAAAAGTAACTGCCCAACCCTGAACTATTCTATTTATTAGCCTTGGGTGCATCGGATTTGAGCTACATATTTTCAACCCGCAATGCTAACTTAGTTAAGCATAACACTTTACACACTATGTTTCCAACGAAAAAGAAATTTTGTTTTGAATTTGCTTTTAGTTCTCTATATTTAGGGAGGAAGAAAGAGTCTCAAACTGCAATAAGTCGTCACGTCCAAAGAAATAAAATTTGTTTAAAATACTTGAAATAAAATGGAGAGTAAGATAAATTTTAATACCAAACTATAGCTTATATAGCATCTAAAAGGATAAAATAGAAACTATAGCTAAATTAACAAGTCAGCAAAAAAGATTTAGGTACGTGCATGTTATGAATTGAAATTATAAAAATGCATTTGACTAAATTAGGCAGCACAAATTACATTAAATGCAGCTACAATTATTCCGCAATTGTTTGATGCTCACTAAATGTGCTGGTAGATTAAAATGAGCAAAAATTGTGAAGTATAACTAAATTGGAATACAGTAGAAGTGTATGGTTGAATATAACCTCCCTTTTAGATGCAGATTTCTTAAAATTTATTGGTATTCTGCAGGTAAAATTGTTCATAAGTTAGAAAATAGGATGAGGGGCATGATGAAATAATTTTCTGAAAATTGTTTAAAGCATGGTCACATGCACTCACTTCGAAGTGAAGGAAACTCATCTCTGATCAAAGTTACAGGCACTCATTCAGAAGTAAAGAAAACTCATCTCTGGGCAAAGTTACGTCACCCAATAGGAGTTACTGAAATCTCATGGAATTTTAACAAAGCATTGTGTGCTAATTGGAGCCCATTTCAGCTTTATATTCCCAGTCCATAGCTTTATGAGAAAGGCAAACAAAATATATCTAATAGGTGAAATTTCAGTTTTATTGTTAGTCACTATTGTATTTTGATAGAGTATTTTTATGCATTTACTTAAAACAAGCCTCTGTGCTTGCAGCCACTAGAATGCAAGGAGCTTCTATATCTCGAAGGGCGGGAAAATATCTAGTTTCGCATTGCCTGACTAATTACCCCGTAGATAAGATGTTGACTATTCTGCGCCTCAAACTGTGTAACGGCTAATGCTAATGGTTGGGCAATTGCGCTCACAAGAGGAATGACGCTCCAGAAGTGTGTGCACCAATGCAGTGGTAACTAATTTTGTTCGCCTACTTCACATTAAGTTGTGTAAAGGGACTGAAACCTATGGGCAGGGGGGTATATTCACTTGACTAACACAGACTGTCCAGAACTTGTAATAGAACTGAAATAAGGAAAATCAGAATAAATTTATGCCCTAACCTGTCACACACACTACAGGAGTACCAAAGGAATTAATAGTAATAAAAATGAAAATTGATTCGTAAAGCCAGGTGAACTACTAATAGTGAATAATAATTTCATGCACTTATGCACAGGCAATGCCTAAAATTAACATTCTCCTAAATAAAAAGTTACTTATAAAATCCCAGACCTTCACCTGAAAATAAATTAATTTTGAATTATATCTACAAAGTGATAGACAAAGTTTGGCTCGGCGATCGGATTGGCACATCATGCAAAGTATTAGAGAAATCGTTTGCCATCATGTTTCTGATTACCATGTGTGGGTTCGTAAATTGGAATCTTGTGGGAGATAATTATGTGCAAGGGAATTGCTGGACTCTTTCTATTATACACGGTTCACGTAACCGCTGGTTGGTTAGGGTTTTCTCCACCATCAATTCCATACAGCTGTAACAAACAACTGGCTAACTATTCACCATACCTGACATGGGCTTGTGACAGAATAGAAATTAGATATATTTATCCCGGCGGAGAAAAAAGCTTATGAGAAAAGTCTATAAAACGGTTTAATCCTATAGCAAACCACAGCCGATTACCAGTCCAATCCTCTCGCAAATAATTAGCCCCGGATTCAAACCTACGAAACCCACATGGGGTAATCAAGGGTGTCGTGGCGAGCGTTTTCCTAACGCTCAGCGCGATGCGCCACACCTCTCAACCAAGAGGGCATGGATACATGAACCACCGTACACTGGCGACAAGTCAAGCAATTCTTTTGCATATAATAAGAGTCCATGGGATTCAAACTAACTCCAGTGAAACCACGCAAAGTGTGATAATAAGTATTTCTCACCGCTTAGCACAGTCCCATAGCATTGAAAAGGTTGTGAACTATTGTCAAAGACCATGGTAAGAAAAAATTATAAAACCAAAATTTCAAGCGCGAATTACTTAATGTGGTGCTGTGGTGCTTCTTAATGTGGGCCCACAACACTGACCTAGGCAATTGCGTTTAGCGTTTATATCAGAATAAATAAAAATTACAAATGAAACATCCCAACCTGAATTACTGTATGTAAAATTGCAAGCAATTTTGCATTTTTTTCATGAATAATTATAAAAAACGATTTCACACAAGTTTTTGTGCTAAATACCATTTTTCTCATCTTTTTCTTCTAATTTTTCGTCAATTTTCATAAGATCTGACAGTTTGGGGCGTTCTAGCCCACTGCTCTTTTTACGTAAATGTTCTTTCCATTCTAGGGAAAGGGTGATATTGAAATCACTTATCAGTAATGTATAGATAAGACAAGATAAGACCCTGGTGCTGGTAAAAAGATAAAACATCTAATCGCTTATCATTAATACATAGATAACATAACGATAAAATCTCCCATATTCTACTTTCAGTACTCATGGAAGTTCATATCAATAATATTTTTTTCAAGAAACATTCCTAAAAACTATCTATGATTGTCTTTAATATATTGATAAGACAATGAAAAATGGGTACTCCTGAAGTATGCGCACCAAGATGTCGCACAACCTGAACCCTAACCTGGTACACTGGGTTCAGGTTGTGCACCATCTCGGTGCGCATACTTCAGGAGGTCCGAAAAATGTCACTTTGGGGATGATGAGATGATAAAAGTTCCCATCACACTATCAGTACCGATAAAAATGCATATTAAAACAGTTTATTTTTCCAAAATAATATCCAAAAATGAACTCGCTTATCATTAATTTATAGATAAGACAATGAAAAATCTCACTCCAAGGCTGGTAAGATAAAACTGATAAAACCTCTTACTATCAGTACCGATAGAAGTCATATCAATACTATTTTTTCTCCAAAAATTCGCTGCAAAATAAATTCATTCAACTCATTCAAATGACGTTGACATGCACAAAGAGATGGCCGAAATACAGAATACTGCCTAAAATATTATTTTGCAAATGGGGGGTGAGTTCAATGGATAAATTTGCATATAGATCATTGTTTGTAAAAATTCTTTTTATTTATTTTGCGCCATTTACCAATTTTGAAATACCAGTTATTTGACTATGGGCATATTTGGAAGAGACAAATAAAAAAATAGTACACTAGCCACATTAATTAAAAACCACTATGAGAGTATAATGGAAATTTTGGCGCTCCAGAAGTATGTGTACCAGCATGGAGGTATCTTATTTTGTTCGCCTACTTTACATCAAGTTGTGTAAAGGGATGGAATATATTCACTTGGCTAACACAAACCGTCATCGAACTCGTAATAGAACTAATATGAGGAAAATCGGAATAAAATTATACCTTAACCCTAACCTGGTACACATACTACGGGAGTAGTGAAATTTTAGTACGTGGTTGTTAAATATGATTTCCAAGCAGAGTTAGTAACAAAACAGTGGCACATATTTAATTAAAAATCACATATTTTGTGAAGAGTGCGAGCATTAAAAAAAATGAAGGTTGTTGCAAAGAATAGTCAAGTCACGAGCAAACATTGGAATCTTGAGAGCTACCGACAGGAAATAAGTAAAGGGAAATGACCAAACTTCTAAAAAGAAATTCTGCCTGGATTTTTTATAAGTATAAATCTATGGTTTGGATTGAACAGATAAAAACACAACCTAGTTTTATAACTGTTTCACACAGGGGTGTACCCCCCGGGGTTGCAGGCCAGAACCTCTTTTGAAATGCGGAAATGAGCAGGTTTCTGTTTCTGTTTCTTACATAACAATTTTTCACAGCTTGAAACACTTTTTAGACCCTAAAGACTATTGAAAACCCATGTTTACCGGATCCACTAGCTGATACAGTCGGACTTGGCAGAAATTTCAGTCCCTCCCCCCCACCCCCCCTTTGAAAATTCCTGGCCACACCCTGGTTTCACACAAAGGTAACTTTACAAATGACACTGACTCTTTATAAATAACTTATTAGCCAGGAATGGTAGATGGAACCATATTGCCAACAACGAGAATTTTAGCTGACATGAGACACACATCAACTCACAAAGTCGTTTACTCCATTGCTAAAACTAGTTTTTGTATTGTATTTATCATAGGTAACATAACTTTGAATAAAATCACAAAAAAACAAGTTGTAAATTGTTTTTCTTTGTCAAGTAATCTAGCATTCAGTACTCACCACTGCTGTAGTAGATAGGAATGGAGTCTGTCGTTATTTTTGATTCACTTCGAATCCCAATGAGAAGAGGACTACCTCGTCTGTAAAGAATTTGTAATTTTTGTTATAAGGAAATTTTGTATCAAAATCATATAGAAATAAAGGAGACTCATCTCTGTGTGAAGTTATGGGTAACATTGAAGTGCTAACACTAACAGCTAGCAAGAATAGGAAAGCCACACTAGAGAATTATAAGTTAAGACTAGATGGCAAATTTTTTGAAGGTTTAAAATTTGGAATAAATGACGTATTGCCTTTATTCTTTAGGCCTACGTCTACATGTTTATAAACTTAAAAGTCATGAAGTACACATCATTAACGATCTCAAAATTGAGTTTCATTTTTAAAGGCAGCAATTTTTTTTTTTGTGTTAGTGTGCCGTGAGATTTTTCCCTGATAATTTGGCGCTGCAAGAATGAAATGCATTGCAAACAAATTAAAAAGTCAGCATTTGTGAGTATAAAAGTAGGCACAGTAGAAGTTTTAATTTGAAACCTAAAACGCCTTGTTCTGACAAGAATTGAGCAAAACATCTAAAAATTTCTGAAACATACCTTGTAGCAATACACTGTCCTGGGTAATGTCTGCTCTTGAACACAAACGCAAATGCTCCTTCCTGAAATAAATAATAAAGACTCAAACAGGGGGGTAAGAAATGAATTATTATGAATACTACTGAAACTGGTATATATGATATGGTGAGTGGATTGTGTGGGCCGCAGGGCGTAGCCAGGGAGGAGGTGAGGGGGGGGTCGGAGAGTTTAAAGATCGGACCCCCCCCCCCTTTGAATTAAAAAAGCCACTTTTCTGTATCATACAGAGCAATTTTTCGTAATCTTGAAATGCTTTTGAAACCCCCAAGACTTTGAAAACCACTTTTTCCCACCTCCAGTCGGACCCGCTAGCTGTCACAGTCTAACATGGCAATTAGAAATTTCAAAACCCCCCCTCCTTAGAAAATAGCTTAGCACGGTGCACCGCGCTGCCGAATATAATTAATATTCAGGAATATTAATCCAGAATGTATTCAAAATAGGAGTTTATTTGGTAATTCCCCACATTCACTCTGAACAAGGCAGTATTCGAAATAGGAGTTTATTTGGTATTTCCCCACATTCACTCTGGACAAGGCAGTATTCGAAATAGGAGTTTATTTGGTATTTCTCCACATTCACTCAGGACAAGGCAAGGATATAATTCAATACTCTTCTTGAGGCACATACCCTCACTCTGGACAAGGCAAGGATCTAATTCAATACTCTTCTTGAGGCGCATACCATATACACAGAAAATAAAAAAAACGAATTCCTCACACAATATCCTAGTTTAAATCTTACAAAGTGAAGAAATTGAGAGATCCTCACACAATATACTAGAACCCTCTCTCTACTTTATCACAGGTGGATTGCCAGTTTATAACAAAACAGATGCATTGAAGGAAAAAATTCAGGAATTGCCCCAAGGTTAAATGTTAAGCTCTTAGACTTGCTAACACTTAGTTTTATGAGTTCTTACCACTTGCATACAATAAAATAAATTATATGGGCACTCTAAGCAGTGAAGTAATAGACTTGGGAATAAATTTTAAATTGGCACCGAATCAATTGCATGAAATGGACAAAGATAGTCTAGTCACTCTAGTGTAATATCAATAATCTGTTCTTGGGTTAATTGTGTAACATTTCTGCCGGGTCACATAACAAAATTTAGATTTTCCATGTATACAACGAATTAAAAAATTATCACAAAGCAAAATTTCATTTATTCAAAATTTTAGTGGGGCACTTGAAATTTCGAGTTCTTGCATAGTTTGTTAACATCAGCTCAACCCTCAACTGACAAAATACATTAGCGAGAACCAAAGCGCCGCAGGAAAAGCAAGATAAAAGAATGCGGCTATCGCTTAGAATTACAGTAACAAGGCACCAGGTTGCTTATCATTAATGCATAAATAAGACAAGATAATACTTCCGTACTGATAAGATGATAAAAACCTCTTATTTCCTGCTATAAATACCAACGGAGGAAGTTCATAACAATACATTTTTTTTTTCAAAATTCAATTTGCTGCGAAAGTAACATGCATAAAGGAATGGCCCGCCCAAAATACAGAAAAATACAAACCACAAACTATAAAATACTGACTAAAATAATATTTTCGAGTATTTCAGTAACAAAGGAACCGGGCACAACTTGAAAGAGTTTGAAAACCTCTCGATTCGATTTCAGTAATCACCAAAAAAATGTAAAGCATACTCACAATTTGCTGAATCACCCTTTCTACCAGTGTACTAAAGCTGACATCATCATTTTCTTTGTTATCCCAAAGATATTTGATCAGTTTCGCGACAACTTCTGTATCGGTTTCCGACTCGAACTCGTAACCGTGCCCTTCCTTTTGAGTAAAAAGATATAGGATAGGATTTAATATTTATTAAAGGGGAGAGGAAAGCCGATGAGATGGTTTAATTATATGGCGAGATGCGACCCACGCAGGGTAGTCAGAGGTGTGATGGCGAGCGTATTCCTAATTCTTAGTATGATGCGACACATCGCCAAGCCATATAATATCAAATATTGATTGGTTCATAAAGTGTATCACACTTTCACACACAAATTTGATTCTGTAATAACAATTACCGTTGTTGTGAAGTGCTTATCTGATGAAGACTAACCTTCGTCAGGTGAAAGTTATAGAAAAATTTTGCAGTTTTTTTTATTTCCCTATTTATCCCACAGGAGAGGAACATCCGATATGAAGACCAGATCGAATAGCGTACCATGACCTAGTTACTAGTCCCTGTCTAGTATATGTATAACTGACCAGTTATTTGTTTCAGACGCAGAGTGGGACTTGTTGGTCCAGGACAAGGCTACTCAACTATTTTTACCGAAGATCCGCATTCAAAACTTCACAATTATTTGGGTCCGGTGTTTCCAGAAATTATATTCCAACCGGCTAATGATCATCAGCTAATCGAGATTGTATATTATCGTAAACACGTTACCAATATTTCCTAATGTCCTCAATTCGGCGCACGGACGCTTCGGACCAAAATGTTATTATTATATACACCAGGGCTACTCAACTATTTTTACCGAAGATCTGCATTCAAAACTTCACAATTATTTGGGTCCGGTGTTTCCAGAAATTATATTTCGGCATCCTTAAACATGCAATTCTTCGACCGATAATGATTATATCAGCTAATCGAGATTGTTTATTATGGTGTTATAGTTCTTTTCATATATATTCAAAACAATAAAAGTCATTTTATAAAATGAAACTTTATAAGTGTGAGGCTAATGATCCAAAATAAAGAATTAAGGTCCGAATCAAATACTCGAAAGGTCCGGTTTGGACCGCGGTCTGCCAGTTGAGAAGCCCTGGTCCAGGAAGCCATAATGAACCACCCTTTACCAACTAGGTTTCCAGCAATTCCCCTCACACAAAATTATCCTCTACAACAGGGGTTCCCAAGCTTTTTTCAGGACGACCCCAAAGATAACTTTCAAGTGTCCAATGCGACCCCAGGTCAATATATATATTTTCCATATAATCTTTAGAGCTTTTTTAACTGGACTTTTGAGTTTGTTCATGTGGTGGTATTAAGTAAAATAAGCTAAACCAAACAGTGATGTCACAATAAGCACCTACATTTTTTATAGCATAAGCATAGAGCGATGCCTATAGGCCTGTTTTACAGTAAGCCATGGTACAAACTGCTAAATTGAACATGGTTTGTCAAATCTTAGATGTTTTGTACATCCATCCTCCATCATACCTCAGCGACCCCATGACCTGTTTGCGACCTACTTATCACTCCGACCCAATTTGGGGTCGCGACCCCTGGTTTGGGAACCCCTGCTCTACAAACTTACACAGGGTAATCAAAGGTGTGACAATAACTATGTTCTTAACATTTAGCACTGCACACATAATACAATATCAAATGTATTCCTTGTTGAATCAAAAAAATTCTAACTTACCAGCAATGTCTTGATTGTCTTATAGTTTGTCATTATTCCATTGTGCACGACGACAAATTCTGGAAAAATAAAAATGATTTAAATTTGATTCCACCGGAATAAAATCCCAGAATATCTCGTTGGTGAAGATTGGTAAAACAAAATGAACAAATTACGAAAAAAAGTTACTGCAATGCCTCATTAAGGCTGAAAATGTAGAAAATAACCTAAAAAGGCAATTGGATTCCAACGGAAAAAAATCTAGTAAAATTGATAATATAGATTGGAAGAATGAATTATTTATAAAGACTACTAATCAACAAACTGAGTTGTTTCAGTGCGTAGTGCATCATTATACATACTGGTAGTTCCGACAGCTTTTGGCATGTCAAAGGTCACTAACAAGATGGCTCTCAAACGAGTTTCCTGTACTTAGGATAGGATGGGATTTACATATTTCTCCCGGGGAAAGGAAAGTTGATAAGACGGTTTAACCATGTGGTGAGCCACACCCTCTAGTCCGGTTACCATTCCATGTCGAGTATGGGATTAGTTAGTTATTTATTTTCAGAAGCATGGACTTGATGGTGGAGGAAGCCGTAATCGACCAGTGATTACGTGAACCAATCTACGGCGGCGAGGAGTCCAGCAATCATCTCGCACATAACCATCCAAGCATGGGATTCGAACCTGCAAACCCACGCAGAGTAATCAGAGGTTCGAGCGTATTCCTAACGCTTAGCTTGATGAGTCACACCGCCGCGCCTGGGCAAATTCATATAAATCAGTGCTTCACAACCAGTGGGTCTGAAGTATTTCCGATGTTACATACAGTTTTCAATTAGGTCGGGAAATTGTGGCATTATCATTGCATAAGAATTATGAAAATATGTAACAATTAGAATTCTGCATCGATATCATACTTGATCTGATAATATTCCATGTGCAAGATGATCAAATTTCACATTAATAGTAAATTGCATAAAGCTACATTGTTTCTTTTCTCATATATTAACATCTCATTGTGGGTCGCACAGAAAAAATGGCAAAAAAATGGGCTGCGAGCTGAGAAATAGCAATAAAAGTGGGCCACAAACTCAGAAATGGCAATAAAAGTGGGCCACAAACTCAGAAATGGCAAAAAAAGTGGGCCGGAACTTAAAAAGGTTGTGGTTCGCACAGAAAAAATAGCAATAAAAGTGGACCGCGAAATGAAAAATGGCAAAAAAAGTGGGTTATGAAATGAAAAAAGGTCGGCAAGCACTGTTATAGATGAATGATCAGTTAAATTTTAAATCAACTTACCATTATCCTTGTCAGATCTCTGGGGGTGACTGTTGACAGCGTTAGGTACGCCATGAGTTGCCCAACGGGTGTGTGCAATACCAACGTGAGTTCCAAACTCAACTTCAAAATCTAGTTCTTGATTTTCTAGAAATAATGTGATTAATTGAAATTTTGTTTTATTCAAGCAACCTTGTGACAAAGGTGATTCCATTTCTATAATACAGCTAAATTCAGAGTACATCAAAATTTGGAAATATCATTTCAAATTGTATTTTAAGAATGCAAATTATCCTAAATTGGTCATCTCCGTTACTCATAAATAATTAACTATTTGTGTATTTTTCTTTTCTAAATACAACTCAATTTAGAATACCGGTATATTATTTGATATTGCATTCAATGCAATTTATTGTTTGTGAATAATTCTAAGTCCTGGACTCTCTATAAATGTAATTGTATCGATTTATTAACATTTATGCATTTAGCCCAGAGGTATCCAAAGTTGATTGACTGAGGGCCAAATTTAGAAAGGGATAGTTACACAGAAGTTGAAGGATATTCGCCGGCAGAGAGAGGAGAGCGCCGCAAGTTGCCGATACCGATACAAGGTAATTAAGATACCAATATAATTGAAATGTTACGAATATACACATTCTTAAACTGTGATAATATATTGAGTTTAGTAGAGGATTACCATAACTATTAAATTTTAGGGTGACAAATATTCGATAAAATAAAAACTTAAAAAATCAACTTACTGTAAATCTTCTCATCAAGGTTTTTCACTTTTCCTTTCTGCTTGATCATGACAATATGCGCTGAGGGATTGTTATTATTCTTTGTGTCAATAGTCGGGGTCGCATTATTCCCACCATCTACAGCAAGACCTGATTGGAATAAAAAATTTTTTCCCAGAATGGCATCCATTACCACATGTTAACGATCAGTGGTGGGATTCAGCTGATTCGCACCGGTTCTATAGAACCGTCTCATGGAATTATATGAGATCAGCGAACCGGTTAGCTTTACTGAACAGAACTGGCTGAAAAATATGTGATGGAACCGGCTGACAAAAAATTTGAATCCCACCGCTGTTAACGATATATATATAACTTGAATGCTAATCCTGCCGCCGTCATTTTTGCTATGACACATATTTGCATCTTCCTCTCTCAACAAGCCTTTGGAAAGGTATAGACATAACAAAGGATGTTCGAAGGGGGGAATGGGTTCTGAAATTTCCTAGAATAGAACTTAGAATATAAAAGCAAGTGGTCCATAAGGCCGAAAAAGTGGGTTTCCAAGAGTCTGGAGTGTCTAAAAAAAAACATTTTGAGGCAACAACAAATTGTTATGTATGATACAGAAAAATGCTTTTCTCTACATTTCAAAAGTAGGGGTTTCCGAAAGGGGTACTCCCCCACCCTGGGTACTCCAGTGCACAAGTCCACAAGTTGGATGTATGGTAGTATATTGAACTGAGGCGTTTTTACAGTTTCACCCTCCACAAAGTTCGATGACATTTCCCACCCAAATTGAGGAAAAGGGCAAAATAAGAAATAAATTTAACATTACAACCAGTTGTAGAAGCTTTGATTCCGGCCCACATCTGCCCATACTCCCATTCACATAGAAAATAAATGAGATTCTATAACACATACCTGCAGAATCATATCCTCTGTATTCCAATCTTTTCAATCCATTGACCAATGTCTGTAAGATATGTTTTCTTGGGCGAGGGGTGCAATGGTTAACGTAAGCAAAAATACCTGAAAGCAAATAGAAGCACTCCATGAAGAATAAGGGATACAGAAGAGTAAAACAATAATTGAGGGGCTGTAAAAAATGGGGAAACTTAATCCCACTCGAATCCAGTTGATAAAAATTTAAATACAGACAACCTGCCGACAGTTGAAAAAAGGTTTGCACTCCCAACTCCGGATTGAAAAATTTTGGTTTTTAAAATCTTTTGCATGCATCTGAAATGAATAACTGGCTAACTGATCCCATGCATACCATGGACTGGTAAGCGGACGACATGCCGTGGTTCGCCATATGATTAAGCAATCTTATCAGCTTTCCTCTCCCCCAGGGTAATTATGTAAATCCTATCATTCCACATTACCCAAATACTAGCAAATAAAAACAATAACTTCTTGCATATTAGTGGCTGCTTATGCACAACCTTGTTCAGAGCGGTAAAATTGGTATAAAAACATTATTTATAGCGACAACACTACTTTCATTATTCTTGGAACAGGATGTGGATTATTATCTTATACAAATAAAGAATGACGTAACTCAACGAATCTCAAGTAGGATGTTTGTCCCCAGTACATAGAATTGATAAGAAATAATTTCAGGTTACGTGCGCCAGACCATGAATTCTGACTGTGAATATAGCTCAAGGAACTGTCTTTAAAATGGGTTAAATAATTTTAAGATTGAGTTAAACGGAATTTAAATTCATTCAATTTTGATTAATGCAACCAGACCATGAAGCCTTGCTGTGAATATAGCCAATTAATCACATTTGAAATATACTATTTATTTTTTTAAATTGAGATATACAGAATTTTTTTTAATTCTGAAAACCACAGATTTAGAATGTATCCGGAATTTGAGTTTGGCCTTTATCTGTTAGTCTTATGTTTCATTTCCGTGTATATCATGTTATTTCCTGTTTATATGATGAATCATTTAACCAGATCCTGTTAGATTTATTGTAACAACATGTCCTTGTGTAATTATTAATATACACACTGGCAGAATTCACCCATTCAAATCAAATGGCACAAAAGATGCCTGTTACAGTTCATTGCTTTTCTATGGCAATAGAACTGGACCAAACCTACCCACACCCATGTGATATAACAAGAATCTAAAATTATATTTTTCGAGTGATTCAGACTCCAAGCACTAGCTAAATTTAGAAACGTGCTTTGAATACTCAAAACAAACTAAATTTAGAGATTTTCAGACAAATGGAAAAAACTATGGTTTCATAAATAATTGTTCCCATAAGAAACTTATACGATGTACAAAAAAAAATTTTGCAACGAGTTTGAGAAAAATTGGAACAAATAATATATCATCAAATGAAATTGTTTGATTAATTTATTAGGATAAACAGAGCATTAGAAAATATCATACTATGGGTTCGTGAAAATGGCTTAACACATACATGCCAGTTCGCATGTTAGTGTGAATTCTGGATAAATACTGGCATGTGGAATTGGATCTTTTGCACAAAGCACCCACCAATGCTCAAAAATAAAAAAATTAGTAATTTCCCAGTTAGAGTTTGTGTTTGGGTTAGAAATGCAGATTGTGATGGAAATTCAAATTTTCAATTCATTCCCTAACCCTAGTCCTAACCCGAACTGGATGATAACTAATTTCTTATTGGACACGTAGTGAACATAGCGATCGTTTCAATATTATGTTGTTGTTGTTGTTCTTGTTCTTTGACACGTTTTTAAAAAGTCGCTTTTCTCTTTGATTACTGGACCAATTGCTTTAAAATTTTCAGTGGTTGAAGATAAAAAAAAATTTTGCTATGACGTCATCAAAATTGTTGCCATTAGGTGGCGCTACATGTCCATAATGACGCATGAAATCCAAATTGGGCTAAGTCCATTTTTTGAAGTTTCAGGAAAAACGCAAAAAACGTTTTTTTTTTGTTTCTTTTTTTTATTTCTCTAATACCTTACATCGAGGATGTCTAGTTTTTATGGTCCACCAAAGTTACAATAAAGGCCATATTTGGATGGTATAAAAAAATTTGTGCTCCGCCCCAATTTTTTTTCGGGGGGGGGGTTTTTTGGACTTAACCCTTTTTGGCTCTCAATTTTCTGGACCAGAAACAATTTTATTGGACTTAGGGCCCCTTTAATATGTTATTATAGAGGCTGGTATGGACTTAGCGCTTTGTATTATATTTTTTGAGAGGAGCTATGTCCAAAAAACGAACTTAGCCCCAACTTACAATGCAGTTATCCAGAGCTAAGTCCACCATAGTAGACACAGTTCTGTTTAGTTCTCAAATGCCCTAAAAAATGCAGGGTTATGTCCATAGCTGTCTTGAGATCTAGAGCACCTAGAGATAAGGCAAATAGACCAAAATGTAGAGCTAAGTCCAGGAAAATCAGCAATTGAAAAATGTCATTTTTTGGAAAAGTGGACTTAGCACTGTTTGGTTTTGAGGTGTCGATATATTTGAGCATAGCTCTCTTGTTTTAACATGGCGAGGGTGTTTTCTCAAATCTATGCATTAGTGGCTTTGTACAAAAGATCCGTGGGATTCTATGATTCATAGGTATTTTCCTGAATGTAACAACTTCGCCGCTCCACCTCACATTTTAACTGGCACATAGACAGTGAAGCACCATAATTTGATTTTTTTCAGTAGCACTCGACAGACCTTAACCCAGAAATCAGTCAACTTCACTTCTGTGTGTATGCGTGTTAACATGGGTACCGCAGCATTTTCGACTAGAATCAGACTACCGAGGTATCACTGACTCAGAGCCCGCCCAATCTCTCCCACGTTTTTATTTTTCATTCATATTTTGCCTTTGAAAAATTCCAAAAATATAATTTTCCCCTCACAGAATAAAAATGGTTGAGATCAATAACAAAAAATTAAGGAATAAAAACAATCCATAGCTTACCACACATCTTTAAACTTTATATAAATTTATCTTCAAGAAGCAAAAAAACTGTAAGTCCGACAATGAACTTATAAAATTTAATAAAAGACTAAAATTTTGTCTAAAAAAACAGAAAAATTGCATATCAATATTGACTATTCGACTATTACTTAGACTTGGATAAGTGTTCCATAACGGTAGACTATGTCTGTTATGTCCAGATACAGAGATAACTTTTCAACAAGACATACAGCCATATATCAAGTATGTCAATAACCTGGTTTAGGATAGGACTAAACAGGATAGGAAAAATAATTTATTGCTTTCCGCTTGAATGGAAAAAGAAATTGAGAAATAGCCTAAATCTACAGAATCTCAAATTTGGAAATTCCAAGTTATGTCACTGGCTTGCTTTATAAGATGGCCCTATTAATTGACCTCAATACTGTATGGTAATACTAGTTATGGTAGGCTATAGATCTGGCACAACCATATGCTATAAACTACACCCAGACTGGATTCCATAGCAGGTGCACGCCTGAGGGGGCTAGCACTCCGCAAAAATGCACGCGAGCGAATTCAATTTTGCACGACGAAAATTTGCAATTGCTCACCAATGAAAATTGGTTCAAATGGTTTTTAAATCAATAATCCAGTAATATAAAGATGCCAACAAATTAGAACTCCACAATTGTCAACTAGGCTAATACTAGCTTGCACAGTTTGGCCTGATCGAAAAATGCGAAGCAAAAAAGAACATATCGTGTTGAATGATACAGTGATAGGAATCCTGTGAGAAAAGATCTCCTCCTCACCGACGCTGGTCAGTTATAGCTCTGATTCAGCGTTTTTTTTATACAATAATTTTACACGAATGCACTGAACAGTACCGGTCAACAAATTTTTTTATCCAATACCGGCAACTTTAGGCAGATGTATTGAGAGGTATCTAATGTCAAAGTCAGTTGCACGCTGGCGCAGTTGTTTTGCACGCCGTGAGCTATAATTGCACGCCAGGAATTTTTATTTGCACGCGTGAATTTCTGATTGCACGGCTGATTTCTCGTTCAAAAAGGCCATGAAATCCAGACTGGACCTACACCACAGCGACAAAAAAATAATGACTCTGAAAACAGGAAAAACAGAATTTTTGTAGTCTAGATATGAATCATGATTGGATTAATTCTAGTTTCTGTACAGGGGTGTATGCCGCACTTTCATGTGTTTTAGGTCAGTATGGTCTTGTGTATAGCTACATCCCTTCTTCAATGTCGATAATTACTAACTCTTTTATATTTCTTTTACGAGACGAATAAACATACATAGATACATATAGCTGTAAAGATCTGGCAAAACCATATGCTACAGTGCTGTAATCTACATCACAAGGATACGAATCATGACTCTGAAATAGTGAATTCCAGTAATGTGGGGAACAAGTAAATCTTTTTCAATCTGAAATAAATTTTTGAATGTGTACAGAGCGTTTATAAAGTCACCTTACAGCCTACAAATTCGTAAAAGTTATCATTTAACTTTGTAACAAATTTTTAAAATTGTAGATCAGTAGATACCGTACTGTACGGTAGTGTAGACGCTGCATTATTTTCTTTTATAAGATGGCTCTGTTAATAATCTGACTGGCAGTTTTCTATAAAAGACCTCAACATCAAGACATATGCTATAATCCACCACGACGACGACACACAAATTCTTCCGCTCAGTCACTGGTCCAACACACAACTCCACATGCTCAGCAAGATCGGCCGCTTTTTAAACGTTAAATGCCCGGCGGCACCGGTTTCGAAATCTAATTCGACGCGCAATATTTGACAAGGCTGGCGAGTCGTTAAATCAACGTTAAACGGGAATTTCAACTAAAACATACATGGTTAAAGTATAAATTAAACTAACTAACAAGCGCTTACTAAATAGCAACTTGTTGCAAAAAGCGTTCTGAATGAAAATTCACAATCTACGGAAGAAATTTCACAAGACGCGAGAGAGATTTTTTCGCTTAGTTGACGTGGCTCGAAACACGATTTCGAAATCGACATCACCTTAAAATGACGTACGCTAGATATTCTGAGACAGCTATGAACAAAATTATAAATAATATAAACTGTTAGTGATTCGGAAAGGGGTTGCGAAGTAAAACGAGAGGGCTAAGATTCCACGTATTGAGCTGGGAAATTTCCATGAAACAACGCCTCCTTTTTCAGGTCGTAATGAATTCTGATTGGTTAATATTGTCACGCATGACTGCTGTTGGCTTGTTTACATTCTCACGCTAACAGGATACATAATGTAGTAAATTCATATCACGTGATTTATTACATCATTGTAAGTATACAGGGAGTCCTCGAGTTACGACGGTCGCGACTTACGCTGTTTCCGGGTTACGAACGCACTCCAAAAAAAATATAAAATATAATTCTGTACTGTAATATCTAAGCCCTTAAACTGGATAAATGTGATCAAGAAAATCAGTTCTTTGGGCTCATTGGTTTTCCTCATTTACATCGTACTTTTTGCATTATTTGTACATTTTATTACTGTACCATACTTTACAATACAGTACGATATGTAAAGAGTAATTTATGTACTGTACAGTATAATGTTCCGACTTACACTGAAATTCGGGTTACACCGCTTCTCAAGAACGGAACAACGTCGTATGTCGAGGACTCCCTGTAAGTTTATTTCGGACATCGGATTTAAAATATCGAATAAAAAGCAAATTTTCTTCAGCGTCAGCAGTAGCGTAACTTAAACAATTAAAATACATTAACCGCACATATATTTCTGCAATTTAATCACAAATTAATATTTGAACTAGCTAGAAATAAACTTTCTCTCGGAAGCAACAGCCGGAGTTGTTCAAAATTTTGACGCAAAAATGATGTACGGCAGTGCAAGGTCCAGCAATACCCTCAGACATTATATTCACGGACATAATTTGAACTTGCGAATCAGCTGCGCGACAGCAAACCAGGTGCACGCGTGTTGGCGCACCAAGAAGGCTTTGCGTACCCGGAAACTAAAATCCATAGAAGAAAGTGTACTTGGCAATCGGCATGTCACATATTTCATATGCCGTAGGCTCATCCCTTACCGTTCGTTAAAGAAGTGAATTTCATAACCATCATCACGCTGACATGAACTGCTCCTGGCTTTGCGTCAAACGGCAATTATTGGATCGTAACGTACCACCATAATTCCATATGAAATTAGCAGCTTCTGGTAATGGAAATTTCCCCGACCCTTGTCAAGTCAAGTCAAGTTTATTTTTTCCAACGAGCAAAAACAATCGCATACAACATTCAGAAAAAGAGAAATAATCATACAATTTTACTGAGGAAGGGCCTAAGTGAAATTCTTCCTATATAATTAGAGTTACCATATTTTTGTGACCTCAAAGCGGGATGCTCCCAAAGACCACAGCTGTGATTTTTCCAACTTTGAATTTACCGATTTTACATTAGGGGCCTACATTTGATACCACCCCGCCGTCTTCATTGACCATATTGTCATCGAGAGTTCATGCGCTGTTCGTCTAAATATCGGTTTTAGTTTAAAAAATAGAAAGGAATTTACGTCAACGTTAAGCACCCTTTTGACTGACTGGCTGAACGCCAAATCGGGACTTTTCACTGACCTACACGTCCCGCCTAAAACGGGACGTATGGTGCCTACCTATACTCTACTAAGGTTTCAAAAATTGACATTTACAAACCGACCTACGTGATATAACCATCATTTCGGTTCAAAACATTTAACCACATCCACATGCCATTAAAAGTAGGGTTACAATATTTTTGTGACTTCAAATCGGGACGCCTCGAAAGACAACGACCCCTTAGCTGTGATTTTGTAACTTCACATTTTCCGATTTTAATACATAGGCCTACATTTAAAGCTGTCTCGGCTGTCTTTATTGACCATATTGTTATCGATATTTCATGCGCATATTCTCTGTCCAAATATCGGGTTCAGTTCGAAAAATAGGAAGAAATTGACGTTAACGATACCGGTACAAATAATTCGAATTTAGAATAATTAGTATTGGTTTTACATGCGATACGCTCGCCATCAATGGGAATCAGCGGGAAACGAACGCATTCACCTTCAGTAAGTAGGCTAGCGCTGCGCTACACAGAAACAACAGTAACGAGAACATGCTTGTGTATTATGCTGGATAAGCGGGACTTTTTGCTGACTTATCGGGACGGCGGGACAAAACGCTGAAAAGCGGGACTGTCCCGCCTAAAGCGGGACGTATGGTAAGCCTAATTAAAAGGGATGATAGGTAATTATAGCCCAGTCTATTGCATCTTTCGAGACTCATTTTCGGGTGCTCCAGAAGTATGCGCACCAAGATGTCGCACAACCTGAATCCTAACCGGTACACACATACTGTGTTCAAGTTGTGCGCCATCTTGGTGCGCATACTTCTAGAGGTCCCATTTTTGGGTACTTCCGTAGTGTGTTTACCAGGGAAGGGTTAGGCCATAATTTTATTCCTATTTTACGAGTTCGGGTACTGTCTGGGTTAGCCAGGTGAATATCCCCCCTGCCCATAGGTTTCAGTCACTTTACACAACTTGATGTGAAGTAGGCAAACAGAATTAGTTACCTCCATATTCGTACACATACTTCTGGAGCGTCGAAAAAAATAATCCAATATGTTGGTATTTTTATGATAAAAAATAAACACTAACAAAAATGTATTTCTGCAACGTACAGAAACTACCTTCGCAAAAGCAAAGAGCAAGGAAAATTAATCACCCCAAATGTTGAAATAAACAAACAGTATAGTCCGGCAGAATCGGGCCTTAACATTGTTTTGGGACATAAAGTTTTTTTTATTGTTTAGATATAATGTATATGACATATATAATGATACCCAGGTGGGTGTGGAATATATAATGTTGAGCATTTTTTCCAAGTAGATTTTAAGGGGCTCCGGAAGTATTCGTACCAAGATGACGCACATCCTGACCCTTACCTGGTACACATACCAATGTTCAGGTTGTGCGCCATCTTGGTATGAATACTTCGGGAGCACCTTTTTGTTAAAAACAATTATTTCATAACTACATGGGTAAGTTTTGAAAACATAGTAACATTGAATCTCTTTACAATGTCAGAAATCCATTTTAGTAGTTTGAAGAGTGCAAATAAATGGTAGTTAATTTCACTAATATAGCCAAGATCGATTGACAGGACAGCATCTAGCCCCTTTTTTGCACTCTTCAACTACATTTGTGTTGCCGCGGGGAATTTCGTTTTCCTGCTTTAAAGCTTCAGGACTTCGGGAAATATTTTATTAGTTGAATTGGATTGGAATATTTGACCTCGTCTTTCACTCCGAACAAGGCCATGTAAAACCATCCACTGGTATCTAAAGATGTGTAACGTGTTTTCTTTTGGAAGAACCGCAACCTTTCAGTGCTGCATTGACTTTGGCAAAATTAATATATCCTTGTGGAGATAGAAGGTATGCGTATGCGAAACCGAGATGTGCACCTGTTATGCCAACATAGTTGAGTCAAACGTTTTGAATACTAGTACATCACACACATTTTCCTGCGTGCTTCGGTTGTACGTAGTAACGCGCACATTTTTGCGCACATGCATCAAATTCCACTTGATTATTGAGCTATAGGTTTTTGACGAGCTTTTGTGTATGATTTCATTCCATAGAATTTGTATGCTGTTCTAAAGAATACTAGTTTCAGCTTTTTCATTCATTCAAACCGCGTGTTGAAAGTAAGTTTTGTAATATTGCGTGTTGGTTTCCAATCCTTAAATCGGTGATGCCAGTAAATCTTTAATACAAAAAGATCAGTAACATCTGCAATAAAAACAGCAGTACCCACTCAAATGACAGCTGGGGGATGGATACTCTTAGTATCTGCTCCATCGCGTGCCTCTTACAGTCTTACCAGTTTACATGAGTGCCAATTGGTATCTAAGCTCAGCCAGAGACAAAAAGTTTCGGACTGCAGTTGGCGTGACGAAATGTTTTTAAATATATATTCTACAATAAGATTATTTGATTGCATACTACTGAAAGTTCCGCCTTATATGTCTTTTCCCATTGCACTATTCCTTTACTGATATTCGATAATATGACGCTCATCTGACATAGTTCTTAAAGTGTGTAGATGGGTATAATCTTTTCCACGCTGTTCAGATGGGAATGCGCGAATATATATAAGAATTGCTAATATTGGTTTGCAATGCGATGAAATCCCATCTTGGCATTTCTGCCTCTCGCAATTGCTGCGTATACTTATCGGGGAAGTTCTGTGGCGTGGTTATCAAATGAAAAAAAAACATGGGAGTATTTTTTCTACTTCTCTACTACTATCAAGAAAACTTTTTTCCATGCAACCTTTTTTAAAACATCCCCAACAACCACAATTAATTCTGTTATTAAACTTCCGAAACAAACACATAAAATCATCAACAGATGCATATATCAAGTAGATATTGCTGAATTGATCTTTATTTTACCATTTTTCATGTAATTCTTTTTGGTAAACCTGTTATCTATCGTAAATACAGCACATTTGACAATGTTGTAGTGTGACTTTTTTGGCCTCACATTTTTGATATTTGTAGTTAGAGCTCTTGGGGCTCTGTCAAACAAAGTTACATACAAAATATTGGTTGTAAATTGCAAAACATGATCATGTTGTTGGAATAACTTGGCATTTTACCACCCGTATATCATTCATTGTTGAGAATATTAATAAAATCATAAAATTTAAAAATCCGTTTTCGTGAAATTTTTGTTGTAGCTGAATTCCAGGGACAGCATGACAACAGGCAAGAGAAGCACGGTCGCCTCTTTTAGTTTATGACAGGGTTTCTTAAAAGGGGACCCCGTCCTCCTTGGAGGCCGCTGATCGGTTATCTGGGAGCACGAACAAACAGATGGAAATGCGAATATATATAACAATGTATTTTTATAGAAGAGAAGAAGCAAAAGTGTTGAGAGTCTTTGGTAGTTTGAAAAGCATTGGCATGGAACATAAGAATGAACTACATTCTTTCCCAGGGATATACTATAAAATGTAGCAATTTTCTCATTCTTGTTCTCGTGATATCATTATCTTTCACTGCGTCGTCGTGATCATCCCGCTGCATAACAATTCTCGCTAACAAATAATTGACTGTTCTCCACCGGGTGTATATCCACTTGAACCACTGGCATTAGCAGGCTTGTATTGTTAATTGCAACAAAAACGGGTATTTTGAAATAGTACTCTTTATTTTACGCGTATGTTTCGACAGTATTTCCATATACTGTATATGGGTCGCGACCCAAAGCTGGGCTCAACAAATACCTAAAAGTATTGATTTTATTTCCTAGTAAATTTGGTGCTTGCGTAGTTTGTGCACCAAGATTGCGCACAACCTGAACATAGTATTGTAACAGGTTATGGTTCAGGTTGTGCGTCATTATGATGCACAGGTTTGACGAAAAACACTAATACAAATATCGAGCCGTAAAAAAATTGCTCAAGGCTGCAAACTCCACACCCATGTAGAAATGATGGGCAATGACCCCAAGATGAATAATCACAAATAAAAAAACTTTATGTCTGAAATCAAACTTGGGCAAAAAAGGGCCCCTTATCTGCCGGACTAGCTCTCAAACCTTGACATTTTGTCAAACCTTTTTTCCATTCAACCTTTTTTTTGAAACATCCCCAACAACCACAATTAATTCTGTCATTAAATTTCCGAAACAAACAGATAAAATCATCAACAGATGCATATCACCAAATCCTAAGTAGATATTGCTAAATTGATCTTTATTTTACCATTTTTCATGTAATGCTTTTTGGTAAACCTGTTATTTATCGTAAATACAGCACATTAGGCTATGTTGTAGTGTAACTTTTTTGACCTCACATTTTTGATATTTGTATTCAGATCTCTTGGCCTTGGGGCTCTGTCAAGCAAAGTTACATATAAAATATTGGTTGTAAGTTGCAAAACATGATCATGTTGTTGGAATAACTCGGCATTTTATCGCCCGCATATATATCATTCATTGTCGAGAATAATAAGGAAATCATAAAATCTGAAACCCGTTTTCGTGAATTTTTTGTTGTAGCTGAATTCGAGGGACAGCATGACAACAGGCAAGAGAAGCACGGTAGCCTCTTATAGTTTATGACAGGGTTTTCTAAAATGGGACCCCGACCTCTTGGAGGCCACTGATCGGTTATCTGGGAGCACGAGCAAACAGATGGAAATGCGAATATATAATAACAATGTATTTTTATAGAAGAGAAGAAGCAAAGGTGTTGAAAGTCTTTGGTAGTTTGAAAAGCATTGGCATGGAACATAAGAATGAACTACATTCTTTCTCAGGGATATACTGTAAAATGTAGCAATTTTCTCATTCTTGTTCTCGTGATATCATTATCTTTCACTGCATCGTCGTGATCATCCCGCTGCATAACAATCCTTGCTAGCAAATATTTGACTGTTCTCCACCGGGTGTATATCCACTTGAACCACTGCCGGCTGCATTAGCAGGCTTGTATTGTTAATTGCAACAAGAGCGGGTATTTTGAAATAGTACTCTTTATTTTACCCGTATGTTACAACAGTATTTCCATATATATGGGTCGCTACCAAAAGCTGGGTTCAAAAAATACCTAAAAGTTATTGATTTTTATTTCATAGTAAATTTGGTGCTTCCGTTGTTTGTGCACCAAGATGGCGAACAACCTGAACATAGTATTGTAACAGGTTAGGGTTCAGGTTGTGCGCCATTATGGTGCACAGATTTGATGAAAAACACTAATACAAATATCGAGCCGTAAAAAAAATTGCTCAAGGCTGCAAACTCCACACCCATGTAGAAATGATGGGCAATAACTCCAAGATGAATAGTCACAAATAAAAAAAAACTTTATGTCTGAAAACAAGGTTGGGCCCAAAAAAGCCCCTTATCTGCCGGACTAGTAGTTATCTTAGCAAGAGCGTAGCCAGTCCAAAATTTGATGAATTGGGCAATTTATTGGGTGCTCCCGTAGGTTCTCGTGCATTTGACCCCACGTACATTTGAACCCACGACAATTGCACCTGCATACTATTGCACCTAATTATATTATTTTGTTTTTTACGGATATTTGAACCCATACTAACCCTAACCCGTGGGTTTTAGCACCCGCATATAAATTGAACCCGCAGATATACACATGGGTTCAAATGTACGGCCACCGCTCCCGTATTATTCGTACCAAGATGGCGCACAACCTGAACATAGTATGTGTACCCGGTTAGGGTTAGCTGGTTGTGCGCCATTATGGTACGAATACTGCGGAAGCATCATTTTCGTATTATGTCGTAATACAGCCCTCACTCGTGCCTTTTGCTCTAAACAAAGGTAGATAAAAGCAATCATTGATATATATCTAACAATATCTTAAGGAATCTATATAATTTACAGCAGGGTGGTCCAAGGTTGTGGGCTCCGCGGGCCACAACATTATTTCGACATTGGTCGCGGGCCACAATAGTACCAAGAATAGGTAAACAGTGCAATACAAAACAAGCACTTGTATTGTGTGAACACATAGTTATCAGGCATTGCCAACCTAGGCTAATGGAATCCGCATCCAATGTTTAGATTTCTATCATGCCTATATTGTTAGCATATATTCCCGACCAAAACGATAGAAATCCAGGTAACAATTTAGACTGCCCATTACATCATCAACTTCGCTAGTTGCTTCAGCTAGCCATCATACTAGTCAATTCAGTCACAGTAGTGATATAACAACAAGATGTCAAACAATTTTTCTGATTTATTTTATGAGAAGCAATTTAAAATACGATGTTTTGATTACTCTCCGAATGCGGCGCGGGCCACAGACAAATGTGGCCCGCGTGCCTGGGTTTGGATCACCCTGATCTAAAGACTTACTTCGCTTACGCGCACATTCTCATCTATTTCGGTTGGTTCATTTGGTGAAAGAATTATTGATAGCAAGCCAGAAAAATCAGTTTTCAGTAAATCGCTCAAGAATAAAGTAAAAGGATGTTGAAAAAAGCGTCATATTTCATGTCTCACTGCGAATGCCGCAAAATTGTATCACAAAAAATAAATGTTGAAAACTTTGGCCTCCTCTGGCTATACCTATGACTTGAGTAGCCATATTATTGCCACATATCAAGTAGTTCATGAAAAAAGACGCATAAATATTCAACTCATATTCAATATATTTAAAATTCAAGCTTCGCATAAAACTCCAGGCTTTTTGTACTTCGGATTCTGATTATAAATTCCTTCAAATTTTCCTGCCGCGTCTCTCCTTGCCATTATGAGGAGCCCTGTATATTCATGAGTCATTCCTGGGTAATGCTCTCTCCATTTGACGAATGTTGATGTCTTGCCGTCGTTCAATTTAACTTTTTTGCTCTGAAAAAATAGGTAAATACTTTGACATCGGAAGAATGGCATATTTAGATGTTGTTGAAATAAACAGTGTAAGTTTTATACCGTTAGTTGGCGTCCGTGGGCAACAGTGACATAGAAAAATATTCGTAGACAGCGCTATTTTGGGCATAATATGATAAGATAGGATTTTCATATTTATTCCGAGGAAAAGAAGACCGATAAGACAGCTTAATCATATGGCGTACGACATCCTGATATCAGTCCATGTCGGCTATGGGTACAGTTATTCGTTTCAGATTCATGGGCTTGGTTTTGTATTATGGAATTGGAAATCATTGTTTCTTGTAGGTTCCTGTTCCACACATTTTTATGTACCCCATGTTTTCATTTAGTTACGCATTCACGTGCCAAAATAAAATATAACTGCACGGTTACAACCCAATATTTTTCCACCCCTCACGATTCAAGATGCCAAATGTTTTTTACGCGTGTTGGATCGATAAAAGCAGTATTTAGCTGCATAAAAAAACGAGTCGAGGGCCTATGTACATGTATAATCAAAGTTACAGATACCTGTATCTACTTTTGTAATGTGCTTTCTTCGATTAAGTTTATCTTATGTTTAGTTACGAGACTACCGCCTTATTCTCGGTTTATCTTAGAGAAAGGTGGGGCAATAGCATAGCTTGTCCTAACCAAACATTTAATAGCGGCGGAGCAATAGCAAGAAAATAAGCAATTGCCTCACCCGAACAGAGCACTGCTTACGCTTAGTGAGAAACGGTGTATTAATCACAAATGTTTTTTGGAAGCGCTGCCTACCTGAATGTCATAGGTCATTCCAATCCATAGATACAAACCGAAGATATCGGGGGGTATTCGAGCCCTCATGTGCTTAATTATTGAATCATAATGCTTTTGGTCATAAATATTCGCGGGTTTTCCCCCGGGAACTTTTGCACAGGTCTCCTCACTAGCCTTATAATTCGTGCCTGCTTGGGAGACGATCCAAAAACATTTCTCGTTGTGTCGAACGTGGCACAGAGCTGAAAAATTAGTACATGTACATGTAATGAAGACTCATCTCGGCGCAAAGTAATGAACAGAACTCCATGGTTTGACTAGTGAATGGATACATAAACAGAAAATATATCTGTAATGTGTAATACTATGTCTTTCTCCTATTCACGGATGCACTGACTGGAAATCTTCAAACCATACTTCCTAATGAGACCATGGCAGTTTCCAGTGATGTGACATTATCGCGACCCATGACCTATTTTCTAAGATATGAATGCCAGATGTTCTGGTGTCCCATGGTGGCGGTTGAAAAAGAGGAGTGGTGATGCATTGCGCAAATTATCAGAAGTAAAACAGACTCAAACTCTAATACCGAGAGTTACTCAAACCCTATATTCTTAACATTTGTGTACGTCAGTATACCAGAAGGTTATTACTTATCGATCTTTAGATAAGTAATGTTGAAGTATGTAAGTATGTTGATGTCGGTGAGTATGTTGATAGGTATTTGTCTGTTTGTCTGTCTGTTAGATGAACGCGATATATCACGAAGGCGTGGTTGAATCTGCTCCAAATTTTGCATGTTCATTCATCATATCTCGGACCCTATTGAATTTGGATGAATCATGTCGTATAATTAGCAAGGTATTAATTAATTAGTGATGGGACACGCGGTGTCCCTATAGAGTCATGAATCGAAACCGCAGTTTCGATCGATAAGTCTTCGGTCTCCGACCGATATTCTCGTCTGTTTATTAGTGCCGTAACTGCACATTAAGAAGGGGTTAGCAAGATTTTTGGGCCAAAAATTTTGCACACCTAGACGGGCGGGACATGTAAGTGTGACGTAAAAATTTACATTTTATGAACACTATTCGCAGTGTTACAAAAGCAAAAGTGGTAAACAATAAGCTTCGTGCCAAAACTAAATTTAATCGCAATCTCAATAAGTTTCTTGAGGTATTGTTTAGCTAAAACATCAAAATTTGATTTTAGTTTGGTTGTGGCAGCTTCGGGCGGGCTATTTGGAATTACCCAGCGGGCCGGATTTGGCCCGCGGGCTGTAGTTTGCCCATGTCAGGGTTAGTCCCATGAAGTGTACTTATGCACGAGAGGATTACTGGGCTCATCGCCGTAGTAAGGCTGTTCATAATGGAACCGATGATTGGTTATAACTCATTTATCCGTCAATTTCATGCATCTGCGACAGCACTATCTCTAGTGTTGATAAATCCATTTTGATTAAAAATCTGGGCTAGGACCCTTGCTTCGGGAATTCCAAAATATTTTCTAAATCTTGATTTCACAGCCTGTGTTGGTGTAGAATGTGATGTACATGTCGGTTCCATTACATTTGAACCAATGTACATTTGAACCCATGACAACTGCACCTATGGAATTTTTTTTGTTTCATTGATATTTGAACCCATACTAACCCTAACCCATGGGTTTTAGCACCCGCATATAGATTGAACCCGCGGATACACACATGAGTTCAAATGTACGGTCACCGTACATGTCACCATACTCTACAGCAGCGATTCCCAACCTGGTGCCCGTGGCTCCCTGGGGGGGCCGCAGAGCAGTTGGAGTGGGGCCACAATACTAGGCTCAAGACTGATTTTACCCTCCCATTGTCAATAAAACTCCCCGTTATTCCTAGTTTCATTGCTTGACAAGGTTATTTCACAAGGTTGATTTCACTTTGTTGAGTATGAATTGTTTGATCATATTGGGATTTCGAATCTACCAATCGAAATAACACTATAAATACCGCTGGAATATTAAACAGGGGCCATCCATGAGGAGGAGGAGGGCCCCTTGAAGGTTGGGAACTACTGGTTTATATTGTCAATGCATATATGTCACAAATATGCTTGTAAATTACATACTTCATCGGTAGTGGACAGCCATCGTGTTGACCCATATATAGTATGAATACATGTCTCATACCTTCTTTTGTGCTTGAAATTTCATTTTTCAGACTTTGGACAGTCATTTCCAATTTTTCTTCAAATTTTTTCTGCATTTCTATCATCTTCAGATCCAGGGACTTTGTCACTAAAATTTAAATCCCAGTTGTGTGAAAGTTTGATTGCTGTTAGAGTCCATGGTTTTCAAACAGTGGGGAGAGCCGCACAATAGGGGGCGAGACGTGGACAATTTTTTGAGGGAGGCGTGTTATTTTAGGGGGGGGGGGGTTGTTTCCAAATTTAGGAAGTGGTAAATATTTTGTTATTAGTGATCGGACTTTTGTAACTTATAAAAAAATGTAATATATATTCGACTGATCATCTTCACTGGAATATGAGCCACTTTTTGAATATTCAAATACATTTTTATTTATGTTAAGATATCGATAAGTAATAAAGTAGCTCTCACTGGCAACGAGTGCATTAAAAATTCAACAAACAAAGCAGTTTTATGCAAAGGGAGAGAAAAATGAAGAGTTTCAGAATAGGCAAATGAAAAAAATTAACAAAAATAGTTGGGAACCAATGACTTACACTCCTTCATTTTTACTTCCACAGCTTCATCAATAGCTTTATAGTCCGTTGGTCCAGGAGGTCCCGGTCTTCCTCTCAAAGGCTTAGGAATTGATTTCGTAATTCCACTACATATTTGTTCACACTCCAAAACGTCACCTAGTGACGATTTTATAATAAATAGGATGAATGCGATTTTGCTGATAAGTATCGTCATATTTATCTAAATCTGAAAAATGCCATCAAAGGAGTCATGTATGAAAATATATAACTTACACATTTGGAAATGGCTAGTGACGCTGTTTTTGAAACAAGCTCTCCTCGTACCACTCATTACCGCCCCAAGAAAATTACAGGTTTAAATCTTGTGAATATTCATGTGCGAGAAAATTTTAATCCTATCACAAACTTTCATTTAAGCTGATACTGTCCGATTTATTTTCCATTCATTTTTATCTGGAATGATCCATCATTGTACACTGTCGCTGTAACGGGACTAGTCTGTTTACCATCCTGAAGAACGAGTGGCTAAAGACCGAGCGGTGGTGACTCTGGGTATGACCTTTCTGCCCCGGAATAAATAGGGTGTCCATAGAATCTCTTTACAATTTTAATTTTGTTATGAAGTCAGTTTTCAATATATCTCAACCAGGTTTGTTCTTTTAATACATCTGTGAGTGCCAAAACAAAATTTGGCATCGATAAATTTTAAAAAAAATGAGACTTTATTGACACCCTATATATACTGTATGTAAAATTCTGTTTTCATCTGACATTACTCATTTTTCGATACTTCGTAGTATGTGTACCAGGTTAGATTTAGGCCATAATTTTAGTCCGGTTTTCCTTATTATAGTTCGATTACGAGTTCGGGAACTGTCTGTGTTAGCCAAGTGCATATACCCCCAGCCCATAGCCTTCAGTCGCTTTACACAACTTGATGTAAAGTAGGCGAGCAAAATTAGTTACCTCTATATTGGTACACATACTTTTGGAGCGCCCCTGTTTCAGCCTACCTTGCCTTCGTTTACATAAAACCAATCTTAAACTTCGTATTTTGCTTAACAAGGTCAAATTTTGGGCCTAATTACATCCCAGTTCGATATACTGAATATTAATTCCGCCGATTTCGTAATATTATCTCGTTGCCCCAAGGCAATAACGAATTAGTCATAAACAAAAAATAACACTGTCAACAAAGAAGTAAATATAACAGTTATTTGTAGGTAGTTTCAATTGACACCTCATTAAAAGTACTAAAAGGATTTGATTTACTGAAACAAGCAAAAATTAGCGGGATAGACTAATCTCAACCGGAGGCCCGTGAGGGCAACAGATGAGTTGGAGGTGGGCCACAATGCTAGGCGCAAAACTGATTTTGCTTTTTCTTTCACAAGAAAACTCCCTGTTCTTCCTAGTTCCTAGTTTCATTTCTTGATGAGGTTATTTCACAGGGTGTTTTCATTTGAGCATGAATTGTTCAAACATCAGACTTGAAGAAGTTAATTTTTTAATTTTTCCGTCAGTGCGCCGAAAGCCGAAAAAGTTTGTGAACCACGGAGATAGACGATTGCTATATTGCTCAGTGTAGCTCATTTTAGACTATGATTTCATATTCCGTCTTATGACATGTTTAATGAATCAATGTTATGTAATAAGTTTATAATAGTTATATCAAAATTTTATTTATCGCCCAAAATGAGTCTCCGTTACTTCTGAGTTAATGATCGTGACTTACATCACCGTCACTAGCTCAGCGATGTGGCGCATCATGCTAAGCGGTGGCGTAATAAGACCCACCTAAGTATGCGGATGGTCGTCCAAAACGCGCAGACGATCACCCGAAATCGAGCAAGCAATTTCTCTCGTTTTCTCGTCACAACGATCACTATAGGAGAGAGATCGCCGGCTTTAGCAAGTTCGTTATCGGCGCGGCTTGCTCCACCATCAAGTCCATGCTTCCAAAAACAAATAAATAAGTCAGGGTGGTCCAAGGTTGATGGCCTCGCGGGCCACCCTATTATTTTTGATGTGTTCGCGGGCCACAAGAGTGTAACTTATTAATAACTGCAGATTGATTGAATACCGAACTTTACCAAATTTGAGATACAGGGTAATTAGTAAATTTTCTGACATATAGGCAACATTTTTGTAACACCGTTTGGGCTGATTTCAAAAGACCACCCAGCAGGAATTATATTGTTCGGCCATAACATTAATATTGAGTTATCAGGCATAGCCAATCTAGGCTAATAGATTCTTCATTCGATTTTCAGTTATTTATGAAGCCTATTTTGCTAGGATATATTCCCGACCAAAAGGGTAAAAAGCCAGTAAACAATTTAGACTAGCCAAGCACATTATTCAACTTCGCTGATTGCCTCAGCTAGCCACAACACTAGTCAATTCAGTGACATTGGTGATGTAACAATATGTCAAAAGATTTTTCAGATTATTTTTATGACGAAACATACGGATCCACTAGCATAAAGGCATAGAGAAAAGATGGGAAGTTAGTCTCGCGCAACCCAACTCAAATTTAAATTTTGTTTTGTTCGATTTTTTGTTTACCCTCCCGCAATGGCAACGCGGGCCATAGATAATGAAGCCTTATCACGTCCTATTCATGAGCAAATTCTCTTCGAGTGTGGGTACCAATATAGCGGTAACCGGAACGTAGTATGTGTACCAGGTTAGGATTAGGCCATTATTTTATTCCAATTTTCCTCATTTCAGTTCTATTATGAGTTCGGGGACTAGCCGAGCGACTCCCCTAGTATTTGTACATTAAATTATGGCCTAACCCTAACCTGGTAGTAGTAACACATACTAAGTTCCGGTGTCCGCCATATTGGTTCACATACTTCGAGAGGACCGTAATTTAAATATTTACAACCACCTGTCAGGCGATATTTGTATTGTTCTGTAATTCCTCATTGTGACGTCGTAAAAGCAATTTAACTGCTGAAAGAATAGTCATTACGGGAAGTCGTCGTAAATCCAACTAGCCGTCGGATTTTATTGGAAAACTTCAATCGTGCAACGGTTATGAAATGTTTACATACATAACCTGGTACACATACTACTGGTGTACCGCTACAAGGAAGCTCGAACGAGATAGTATTAGAGCACGGGTTTTCAACCAGTGGGCCATGGCCCACTGCTGGGCCACAAAAAGATTTTCAGATGGGCCAAAAATCGAAAAAAAATGCTGGACTTATTGATAAACTGGTTAAATTTGATTGTATTATAAATGAATGATGCTGTTTTTTTGCTATTAATTGGTCATTTTTATTTTAATTATTAAAGTGGAGGTGTCTCTTTTTTTCGTAGTTGTTTCCTATCATGAGAAAGGTAATGGACCGCAGACATTTTTGGTGGCCTGATGTCTGCCCTGTCTAGAGCATGATATTGGGCACACCAAACATTACTTAAATCCATTAGCGTCAGTGTGCAGCAGGATTCTTGAATTTTATATAATAACTCGGTATCACAGTTAACTTAACGTTCATTTTTAATAGCATTTTATCGTGCCTTAATGTATTGGATAAATGAATATAGCAAAACCTTCCAGGGTTTGTTTAACGGTAACCGAGGAGTGTTTACGTCATAGAAAGATTAGTCAATCAAAAAGTGGGCGTGGCATTCTAATGAGCCAATAGCAATTTACGAGAAGGCACACAGCGTTAAAAATATAACCGACCAGTTTTGTTTTTCGACGGGTTAGGTTTATGTAGTACAAAATCAGAGATCAAATTGTTGCAATTGCACTATTGTTGCACTTTGCTCATAATTGAGTCTCCTTTACCTCTGAGTGAGTGCACACAACTTTGCTCAGAGACGAGTCTCCTTTACCTCTGAGTGAGTGCATGTAATTTTGCTCAGAGATGAGTCTCCTTTACTCTGAGTGAGTGCCCATAACTTTGCCATGAGATGAGCTTCTTTCACTTTGAGTGAGTGTATGTAACTTTACTCAGAGATGAGTCTCCTCTACTTCTGAGTGAGTGCCTGTAACTTTGCTCAGAAATGAATCTCCTTTACTTCTGAGTGAGCAAAGCTTCCAAGTTGAGCAGAGTTACTTATTTTCCGAATATATACGCGTGACGTAGCTTTGAGCAAATTCTTTCTCAAAAAAGTAAAGCACGCTCGGCCCAGGGTTAGGTAAAATAATAAAATACTTGGAAGAATTTTGATGAAGAAATGTATTTCCTGAGTACGGTATATCAAATTGTTAATGCCATACCATGATGCCCGGCCGACATGATTCGACCCGTAAAACATCCTTCGTGTTTTTAAAATATTATTCCGCCTTGTTGGCCAATCAATGAGCTCCATATTGTAATCTTTTGTTACGAAAGCTCTCGAGAATGGCAGCCGCTTTTATTGCTCATGATAAATATTGTTTCCAATAAATGTCCAAGAATAACCCGAGACATCGCGCGTCATTTGTGAACAAACAATACTTGCCACGAGGTAACGTTTGTGTTTGCATAATCAAGATTTTAAGATAATTTATGATACAACAAACAAAAGTGAGGACATGTCGTGCGAGCTTGTTTTAATTACTCATATTAATTTTACCCGAACAAGCGTGGAACAGACATAAAATACCCTTCAAATCTAAGGCCTATATATGTTCAAGTATCGCTTGTCCAATGCGTCAGGCTGGGGGTACACCCTCGTACTAAATGCGATACTAACATACCGGACTAGCAATCAAACGGTCGTTTGCAGATTGTAGCGCCCATGTTGTGGTTTTTGAGCAAATGGAAAATAAATGCCAGTTACAAGAAACGTATTAATATGTCAGTGTCAGATGTAAACTTACGAAGGTGAAGATTTTTTTTACAGTGATACGATTTATGTACTCCAAACAAGGCTCCGATCAATCATAGTTTGATTATACGTATTTCTAACGGTTTTTGCGATTTTGTTAGCTAATGCTGTATCTCAGGCACAAGAAAATTTTATTAATTTTTAACAGCACGGAACGTAAAGTTATGACGCGATTTTCATTACAGTGTAAGCTGTATATTTTTTATGATTTGCGTACCTCAACTCCGGAGAAGGCCGTAGACAAGCATAATTTGGTTTTAGACGGTCTGCAATGCCATTACTGAAAGATTCTGAGTCTCCCCAATCAGGTCCGTAGGCAGGAATGTTTAAAGGAGGCGTTCTTAAATTCCTAATTGACACGTGAGACAGTAACAGCTAGAGAGTCCGAAAAGGATGAGTTTTCAGAAGTCTTGATGGTCTAAAAAGCGAATTTTAACTGAATATTCCGAAGAAGCTTTTTTACATTTCAAAAGGTGCCGGAGCCCCCAAATCCTCATGTCATACAAAAATGAGAGAAGAAATTGAACGCACAATTTTAGTGGGAAAGGGAAGTCGCAGGTATCCAAACTGATTACTAATCAGCGATACCCAAGGTTTTAATATCTGCTTTATCCTTGGAGGATTAGGAGATTAATACTTTTCGAGAGAGGTGTCGCCGAGAGCAACATCACCATAACTTCATTAAAATACTTTCATTTTTCTCCAATATAGCAGTTTTTTAAATTCCCGTATTTTTATAAAAAATAAACATGTCAAAATCAAAGGAGAAGAATTGTTGCTGCACCAGGGAATGTGGTCTAATCACAGCTGGGATTATTGGAGCGATACTTGTGATTCTGGGAGGAATGTTGGTGTTTATATTCGACACCGTGTACGAGAATATTGTCAAAAGGGTAAGTTACTGCTTTGATGAGTACAGTAGAACTGTAGGGGTATATGATCCCACTGTATGTCGTATTGTCGTTACCTCCGTACTATAACTGTACGTACGTCAGAAGAGTACACCCCAATTGACTCCTTCAGAGGTCAATAAGAATACAATAGCTTGTAATGACAATGTATATTGTAAAGCAGGGGTGCACAACCTTTTTGCTATTGGCGGCCACATTGCATTTATTTGTATTCAATACGGCTTCCAGGGAGTTGATGAGTGCGCCGAAGGCGCGCGAAAATTATTTTTTTGTCTTTCATGACGTCATAACCGCGTATTTGACCCATACGAAGTGCAGTCTGCCCAATTCTGAAGTATGTAGGATTACTTGGAAGTATAATATTCGCATTTTAAACGGATTTTCTTTTCGGTGGACCTATTCTAGAGCAGATATATTGCAGCAAGTTGCATAATGGTTGCACAATTTTGAAATATACGCCAGTTTGAACTTTTTTTCTGTTTTTTGTTCATAGGATTTTGTATGTGGACGGCCGCATTATTTTTTCACGACGGCCGCAGTTTGTGCACCGTTGTTGTAAAGGTACAAGATCAATTCGCACTATATTCATCATAGTGATATATAAATCACCTCCAGGGAGATTTGCTAAAATAACCTATTTATATTTAATTAAACATGTTAATAATACAAAGGTGGTAAATAACATTGAATCCATAGTTATATTTCACATTCGTTACACAAGCAGTCTAAAAACGGGAGGGAAAGGAAACAAAATTGTTTGTGCTCTGCGAACGAAGCTTTTCGCTCGTAGCAAGACCCTCTACAATCAGAGGGTTCAGGTTGTGCGCCATCTTGATGCACATACTTCTGGAGGTCCCAATCAGACACTTATATGTCAAGAGCTTCTATTTTTTTGGAGGATCAGAATCTTTCAGGTTGGGCAATTGTCTGAGGGTGGTGGTTGGATATAGTTCTATATAGTATAGGATGCTGTAACCGCTAGGGCATTGCGCCGGAAGGGGATTGTTATATTTAGGTATCCGATTTTCTCATCCGTTTTTTATTTTGTCTAAGAGGAGATAACCCACAATAGTCATTTTAGCTCTATTTCCTCCTATTCTGTGTATCTTAGGCGGGGACAGCGTTTTTTTTATAAAAGATTATATTCTAACAGAGAGAGTTGGTATATACCCATCTCTATCTACCGTCAATTTACCTAATACTTAGCAAAGCTTACGATATGTTTTCTTAACTATTCCAGGAATCTGTTATTGCAAACAACACAGATGCTTATGCAGCCTGGTCAGCACCTCCACCATTGTATTTTGAATTGTACGTCTTCAATTGTACGAATCCCAAAGAATATCTAGCAGGAGCAGAGAATGGTACTTACGTTAAACCACACTTTCAAGAGCTCGGGCCTTATGTGTATAAGTAAGTGTATTAGTTTTTACGACGTTTGGCGCATTGTGCTAAGCATTAGCAATGTGTTCGCCATCGTGCCTCTGATTACCCTGCGTGGGTTCGTAGGCTCGAATCTCGTGAGGATGAATATTTGCGACTGGATTGCTGGACTCCTCGCCGCCGCAAGGTGGTTCACATAACCGCTGATATGGTAGGGCTACCCCCATCACCGATCATGGTTAATACCAGACATGGTCAAGCCGGTCTGGTTAAAACTGGACATGGTTAAACCAGACATAGTCAAAGTCCATCACGGTTAAAACTGGACATGGTCTAACCAGACATTGTCGAAATCATACAAGGTTATAATCAAACATGGTCGAAATCAAACATGGTCAAAACCAGACATAGACAAAGTCGGTCATGGTCAAAACCGGTCATGCTCAAACCAGACAAGATCATAAGAACATGATGAAACCAGACGCGGTCAGAACCAAACATGGTCAAAACCAACCATAGTCAAAGTCGGTCATGGTTAAGACCAGACATGGTCAAGACGATCTGGTTAAAACTGGACATGGTTAAAACCGGACATGGTCAAACCAGACATGGTTGAAACCATGCAAGGTCAAACCCGAATATGATCAAAATCAAACATAGTCAAAACCAAACATGGTTAAAACCAAACAAGGTCAAAACCAAACATAGTCAAAACCATACATGGTCAAACCGAACATGGTTAAAACCAGATATGGTCAAAACGAAACATGTTCAATACCAGAAATGATCAAAACCGAAGATGCATTAAACTAGACATGACCAAAACCAAACTTGGTCAAAACCAGACATGGCTAAAACAAAACATGGTTAAAACCAGACAGATTCGGAACAAATATCCATCCATGGTTTGACTATGTTTCCTAAACAATTATATTGTCAATGTAATAATCTCTATTCCATTTTAACAAAATTGAAATAAACTTCTTTCTCAGAGAATTTCAAAAGAAAGACCAGATGCAATTTCTGGACACCGAACCAGAAGAGCTAAGATACCGATCAACAGCCAAATACTACTTTGAACCTTCATTGTCAAGCGGGAGTGAAGATGACTTGGTCACAACCGTAAATATAATTGCAACTGTAAGTCAGGATTTCCCATTTTTTATCCTTAATCCCAGTGATTCACAGCCAGGGTTCTTCGGCACTCTATGATTTCGCTAGTACAGTCCTGAGGCATGAATGGTCACTGCATGCGAGGTCACGGTTTGGCTGATGATTAGGCCGTCCTATCGACTGTTCTCTCTCTCGTGATAAATATGATTATCGTATACGAATGAGGTGCTGTGCAAGCAACAACTGATATGAACAGGATTCATTATTTTAATATGATGATATTTCATGCATTTCACTCTAAACAAGGCACTGTATAAGCAGCCACGATTAGTAATACGCATACTTTACATCAATCAAGTTGTGTAAAGGGACTGAAACCTATGGGCAGGGGGATATATTCACTTGGCTAACACAGACAGTCCCCGAACTCGTAATACAATAAGGAAAATCGGAATAAAATTATAGCATAATCCAAACCTGGTACACATACTACGGGAGTACTTATAATTGAAGTATTCGAGATTCGATTCGATCAGGTATTTGAGAATATCCAACTCTAGGACGAGTTATTTTATTTAGCTAACCTCTGATAAATGGTACTCGAGTCCGACCTGAGTAAATTAAACTGCTAAGAAACACCTTTGTCTACATTTTCAGGCTGTTCCATCAATTGTGGAATACTGGATAGCAACAGTGCCGCTCAATGACACGACCGCAAGAGTTTTGCGAAGAACCGTAAATAAAATGATCAACGACGCCGGTTCGGAGCTACTTTTTACAAAAACAGTCGGAGAACTTTTGTTCGGTTTCCATGACGAACTTTTATCTCTTATAGTCAACACGATCGAATTGCTTCCCATTGAAGGCTTACCTGAGGGAGATTTGCCAGAGACTTTTGGACTTTTTTCAACGGTGAGTTATTTTTGTAATATTTTGTACAAATTTGCTTATTGCACCAGTTCTTAACAAGTTGGCAATGGCCCACTACTGGGCCACAGGAACATCTTTAGAAGGACCACAAGCCTATTCAAAATTGGATATTATTGATAAATTAGTTAAACTTTGGTTGTATTAGGAACAACGTTTCCTCTAAGAGCTTGCTTAGAATAGAAGGCCATGTGAGCTTCAAAAAAAAGGTCTGCGCGGAAAATTAGAAAAAATAGAAAAGAGCACAACATTTTGAACGATCAAAGAATTGTCAATACTTATGCAGTGCGCGGCAGAACGAAAGTACTGCGCGGGGATTCTCGGCAAGCTTTGCGGCCTCGCAGCTTAGAGGGAACGTTGATTAGAAATAGTGATAACACTGTTTTTGCCACTAAGTGGTATTTTTCATTTTAATTATTAAAGTGGAGGTTTTTATTTTTGCGGGAAGAAATTTCTTGTGTTTTTTCGTAGTTTTTCGTTTGCATGAGTAAGTTAATAATCACAAAATATTTTGTGCAACAAAAGTGGGACACAGAGAAAAAAGGTTGAGAACTACTGGCTCAAAGCAACGCTGCAGGTTAGGTTAAGCTAAACCAAAAAACAGTCTAAAATTATATTTTTGCACATAACAAGTCACTGAGCAGGAAGCCAAAATGTCACATAATAATTATAGATTTTTCTGTCTTCACGTAAGATATCAATATGTAGAGCAGCGGCTCCTAACTATGGGCCTGTGGCTTCTCAGGGGGGCCACTGCGCAGTCGAAGGGGGTCAAAATGCTACGCGAACACTGATTTTCCTTTTCCATAAACAAAAAGTTAAGGAACCGTTGCCCTAAGCCATATTCCAAGAGCTATGGTTTTCCATATATTTGAGTCAGGTATATCAGAATTCCTTCGTTAGTTTCAAAAACATTTATTAATAAACTCATTTCTACCCCAACAATGTTACAAAAAGAAATCATTCATCCGGTTAAAGCATGATATAACACATTGTGAACAAACAATATGTGTTTGCTTGTGTCTTGATATCTTGGGGTCACCATATTTGAAAAAGCAAAATTCCAGACAGTGCATGACTATTTTCATGACCTCGTAGTAAAAAATATGCGCACGGTACGAAATAACAATGTTCTGTATGAGCAGTGTGCACAGTACGATTGCAGATGCAGTAAAATTCTGAATTCCGGACATTTGATCATTTTTTAAATTCTTTCCGGACGCAAAATTTAACCCTAAATTCCGGACATGTCCGGAATTTTCAGGACGGTATGGCAACCCCATGATATCTGTGCATTGTATGTATGTGCACAGTGTATTGTCTTCAATCTATGCAAAGTGGGTGCGTCCTATTGGCTATTGAGTGTTGATTGAACTACAGGGTGACCTGAAAATGTCTTAATTGAAAATGAAGAAAATTTATTTACCACTTGAAACTTTTTTTCAGTATGATTGTACCCAAAGTTTCAGTAATACAGGACGCCTTGCACAAAAGTATTCTTCTATCTAGAATAGCGTTTCCCAAATTACGAGCTGGGACCTAAACTAGGTCGTCTTCTTGTGCCGCTTGTATTCTTATCAAAAATTGAAAGTGATTGCATTTTTTAGTTAATTTTATTTTATGTCTAGTGTTGAAGTGTTGCTAGTAATTGTATATCTGGGAAGTATTCCAGTGTATAATATTTGTAGCATCTATTTTGCTTAGAGACATGCCGGTGCTCCCGAAGTATGCGAACCAAGATGGCGGACATCGGAACGTAACATGGGTAACAGGTTAGGGTTAGGCCATAATTTTTTTCCAATTTTCCTTATTTTAGTCCTATTATCAGTTCGAAGACTAGCCAAGAGCCTCCCGTAGTATTTATACCTAAAATTATGGCCTAACCCTAACCTAGTACACATATTACATTCCGATGTCCGCCATCTTGGTTCGCATACTTCGGGAGCCCCGACATGCCACTATTTCAAAAACTCGTTGATGGCAAATCAGCGCTTTCTCACTTTGACGTGATTCATGGGAAAATAAATGTTCTGTGAAAATGCTTGTTTCATTTCATTAATTTAATCTTGCAGCCATAAAAGCACTCTGTTGTTTAGTATTTTAGCATATTCCTGAATCGGTGACCGTACATTTGAACCCATGTACATTTGAACCCATGCGTATATCCACGGGTTCAATCTATATGCGGGTGCTAAAACCCATGGGTTAGGGTTAGTATGGGTTTAACTATCCGTGAAACAAAAAAAATTCCATAGGTACAATAGCATAGCATACATGTGCAATTGTCATGGGTTCAAATGTAATGGAACCTCCTGAATCATATACCTTAATTTTTATTTTATTTTTCACTTTTGATTGCTTGTGAAAAGGTCGGGTACCACTGCTCTAGAATATGTTCAAAATAATCTGAATTCTTTTTCTATGGGTTATACCCCTTATACCCCTTTAACCTTTTATGGGTTGTGGCCCCCTTCCGGAGTGCCTGTTTGACATTCCAGTGGTATTTATAGTGTTCTTTTGATTGGTAGTCCCCAAATCTCATTATGTTCAAACAATTCATGTACAAGAAAGTGAAAACACTCTGTGAAATAACCTTATCAAGCAATGAAACTGAGCAGAATGGGGAGTTTTCCTGTAAAGTGGAAAATAGGATCAGTTTTGCGCCCAGCATTGTGGCCCAACTGCTCTGTGGCCCCCAGCTTGGTATCGCTGCTTTATCAATGTTAATGTCATGTTAATTCAAATATTTTTTACTTTTAGATGAATAACTCCGCAGGATGGTACAACTATACGATCTACACAGGGAAGGAGAGTTACCTCTTAATGAACAAGCTCATTGCTTATAATGACATCAGGTAAAATCTCCTCCCCATATTTACTAAGATTATTTTGGCTCCATAATCAGAGTGAGGGAAATAGAGCGGTGATTTTTAACCTGGTTTCCACGGCACCTTAGGGTTTCACCAGTACTGTCCAGGGGTTCTGCAAGTTGCCATACAAACCCCAGAGTCTATATTAATACATGTATGTATATTGTTTAAATATAATCAAATACCTGTTTGCTTGGTTCCATTACATTTGAACCCACGTACATTCGAACCATTGACAATTGCACCTGTATGCTATTGCACCTATGGAATTTTTTTTGTTTTTCGGATAGTTGAACCCATACTAACCCTAACCCATGGGTTTTAGCACCCGCATATAGATTGAACCCGTGGATATATGCATGGGTTCAAATGTACGGTCACGTTTGCTTTTATTGAACATGTTATTGGTGATGTATCTGCATGAACTGACGTACTTTGCAAAGTTTAAAAATTTCCCCCTCCTTGATCGGTTACTGAAAATTATTAACAACTATTATTGGATTGAGATACTTATACGTTGGCACCGCTTTCTGAACGGTTGCCACTGCAAATACGCCACTGCATGTTGATGGTATGTGTCATACAAAAGGGAGATTATTCTTATAATTTGGAATATACCACTGGACATAGATTTAGGGTCCTACAGAGGCCAACAATTTTAAAGAGGTGGGGGGGAGGAGGGGGAGGGGTGGGGTTCGGGTTGGGGGGGGGGGTCGAACAAGCGGGTAATGGGTCTTTAGGGTCCAAGCAGCATTTCAAATTTCATGCTACTAAAATTTCCTATGTATTGTAAAATTTCCTCACCCCATCCCCCTCCCAGCTATGCCCCTGGTTCCCGCATATACTTGCGAATGTCACTCTTAAAATGGAAGAAATTATGTATGTGGGGGAACATGTCTGTGTGTGTGTGTCAGCATGCTAAGTTATCTTTTGATCATGCAACGTTTTTTACTTTTAGGGAACTTGATTTCTGGTTTGGAGAAGAATGCAACATGATAAATGGAACAGGTGAGTGGGTGCTCCCGAAGTATGCGAACCAAGATGGCGGACATCGGAACGTAACATGGGTAACAGGTTAGGGTTAGGCGATAATTTTTTTCCAGTTTTCCTTATTTCAGTCCTATTATCAGTTCAAAGACTAGCCAAGAGCCTCCCGTAGTATTTATACCTAAAATTATGGCCTAACTCTAACCTAGTACACATATTAAATTCCGATGTACGCCATCTTGGTTCGCATACTTCGGGAGCCCCGGTGAGTGTTTATTAGTATCAGTGGCTCTAGTAGTGAAATTGAAGTTTTATTGTAAAAGACCCAAACGCAATACTTGACCCAGAAATGAAAATTTAAGATGGAACTATGTAAACTAAGTGTTTGGGAATCATTCAACCAGATGTTCGTGTATTCGACTGGTGTCTGACCAGCCGCTGACAATGAAGAGTACAGCCATTAATTTCCCTACTACACAAGGTGAAAACTCTTGAATTTTTGGAACGTCCCTCCCACCTCTAATTTAGAGGTGTGACACCACACCTTAATTCCTAACTTGGGGGCTCCCGAAGTATGCGAACCAAGATGGCGGACATCGGAATGTAATATGTGTACTAGGTTAGGGTTAGGCCATAATTTTAGGTATAAATACTACGTGAGGCTCTTGGCTAGATTTCGAACTGATAATAGGACTGAAATAAGGAAAATTGGAAAAAAATTATCGCCTAACCCTAACCTGTTACCCATGTTACGTTCCGATGTCCGCCATCTTGGTTCGCATACTTCGGGAGCCCCCTAACTTGAATAAAATTATATTTAAATATCCAGAAAAGGGATATAGCAGTATAGATGGTCAGTCAAATATATAACACATTCCTGTAGAATAAAACTAGTGTTATAGCAAAATAGCTACCACCAACGTTCCCTCTAAGAGCTTGCTTACATGCGCGGAAAAGAAGGCCACGTGAGCTCCAAAAAAAGGTCTGCACGGAAAATTAGAAACATTTTAAACGAACACAGAATTTATTTATAAACTCCAGTGCGCGGCAGAACGAAAGTACCGCGCGGGGATTCTCGGCCAGCTGCACAGCTTAAGAGGGAACGTTGACTACCATCCTCCCTCTAAATTTGAACCTCCCCTTTATAATGGATATTTTTGGGAGCATACTGAGTATAGCAATAATCTCACTTTTAATTATTCCAACAGATGATAATTTGGCGCTCCAGAAGAGTGTACAAATATGGAGGTAACTAATTTTGTTCGCCTATTTTACATCAAGTTGTGTAAAGGGACTGAAACCTATGGGCATGGGGATATTCACTTGACGAACACAGACAGTCCCCGAACTCCCAATAGAACTAAAATAAAAAAATTGGACTAAAATTATGGCCTAACCCTAACCTGGTACACATACTCATTCACTGAATGCATTTCACATTTAGATGGAACAACTATGCCAGCCTTCATGAATAAAGATGAAACAATGTATATATTTGTGGATGATATTTGTAGGTATGTGTGAAGTTTTATCTGCATTTTTAACTTTATATCATTTTAACGTAGTAATCACCTTGTGCGAGTAATGCCAAAATAATTAACAGGTACCTTCATTCTTCGGTGCTCCCGAAGTATGTGTACCAAGATGGCGCACAACCTGAACATAGAATGTGTACCAGGTTAGGGTTCAGGTTGTGCGTCATCTTGGTACACATACTCCCGGAGCGCCGCTTCCTCTCATACTAGAATTCCTTTAAAATATTATTGTTTGAAACAAGGCGGTGCCGATATGGGAATGACGTCCTGTGAAATTCGAGAGGCTATGCATGTCAAGACAGCCGTACGTGTGCTTGTTTTATAAAAATAATGATAATGAGTCATGAGTGTATGTTTGCTTGGAGCAATAAGGAGAAGGCAATTTGGGATGAGATGCCTCACTGTTTTCATCTCAATTTCACACCGTGTAAGCTCGCATCAAGCAACTCCTTATCTTGAGAGACATTTTGTGCCTTTATTTCAATAAAAACTTACCTCTATTTTCAAGCGGAGACCATGTAGTAACTAATCTTGTAGTGTTTTTTGTTCACTTTTGAGTTTTCCTGAATGCGCCCGCAAGGCCTTCTCAAAAATTTTTGTGGCTTTTCAATCTTGCAACTTGCACCACCCTGCTTCAGAACGATACACCAACTTTGTAACTCCCGTAGTATGTGCACCAAGATATACAACCTGATAACCCTAACCTGATACACATATTATGTTCAGGTTGTGCACCATCTTGGTACACATACAACGGGAGCACCCCAACTTTCTGAACCGACTAATTTTGAATGTAGTAACTTTAATACATAAAAAATGTCATTTCAAATTTTCAGGTCCATGTATGCTGAATTCTATGAAGAAGTGAACATTAAAGGCGTGCCGGGATGGGAGTACAGAATCCCGCGACAATTATTCGAAGCGCCTAGTACTTATGAACCTAATGAATGTTGGTGTCCTGATCTCAGTTTGGATGTCTGTCAACACAGCGGAGGGTTGCCACTTTCTTCATGCTTATATGGTGAGAAGATGAGGCACATAGTGCTAAACATTGCGAACACACTTGCCATTGTACCTCTGATGGGGGGGGGGGGGGGGGGGGGGGTAGCCATTTTATGGGTTGGAACCCCCTTTTGTAAATGTATAAGAAATTTAATTTATATGTTCATATCAGTGTTATTGCCTTATTACCTATGTTATTTCTTGTCTATTATGACATGCCCCCACTGTCATGCCTATGCTGTCTGAAATGAAGACTTAAATAGAATAGAAATATGTCAAACTCCATGGGTACACGGTGTAATTTCCATGAAATACTGCTATATTTTATGTCTTATATTTGGTCTGTGACATAATAATATGAGGACACCTAGTGATCTAGTTTAGGCCATGTGATAGAACAGAGATGGCGAACCTTTTTCAATGAATGGGTGAGAAATTATAATTTTATCGCGGAACAAAAGAGGGTGGGTCACAGATATTTAAGCATTGCTCCAGGACATTGCTGTTATAAATTAGGATCCGACTATTTTGTAATCTTGAATCTTATTTAAAGTTCCATTACTTCTACTATCGTTCTACTACTATTCAATTTCTATTCCTCTATATCAGGGATGGCGAACCTTTTTCAATGAATGGGTCAAAAACTATAATTTTATCGCGGAACAGAAGAGAGTGGGTCACAGATATTTAATTCACGTTTGTATCTATAAGAAACTTCTGAAACAAATCTTATAAGCTGGTGTTGGTGTAGTTTTGGGCTTTACTTATGCAGCACTTCTATCAGGACTGTTCATGGCACTCGGTTTTATGATATTAGAGTACGAAAACACGCACATGAATTACCAAAAACGTTTAGAATGATGCGTTAAATTATTTTACGGTTCTAGTGTTTGGAGGTAATTCCGCTTTGATAGTGTTATAATTTTCGATCAGCTTCCAACCACATCAAGCCACTTTTACACTGCCCCATTGTTATATCAGATTTCTAGATTTTTATTTCAAGTCTGAAAGTTTTTGTTTTCACAACGGCATTGTAGACGAGAAACTAATAAAATGCAAAGTAGCATCTAGTTCTCGTATAACCCCTAAAACAGTCTGCAGATGCACTGCAAAAAGACAGGCGTTGCGAGAAATGAACAGATCAATTGCATTGTTATGTCATAAACGATGTCAGGCCCAATAGCTGAATAACGGTACACAGCGGTGCATACATGCGTACAAGATTAGGGGTTTTGAAAATTACCATACCGGCCCAAAAATCAACATTTTGAACATGAGCGATCGCAGCCCTTCCTGACTGTCCAACTGACGGTACATTATAATAGTTTAGTTATTGTTAGATTAATTTAAGGCCGGTTTTATCAATTTTTATCACTGATATGTTAGCATTTTTTCATTTTATTTGTGCCTTCGCTTGGCGGGTCACAAATAAAACGCGGTGGGTCACTTTGTGACCCGCGGGTCAGTGGTTCGCCATCCCTGTGATAGAACATTCTAGAACTAATCTATGTGAGCATCGGACGTATGTTGTATTTCTATTTACTTTCATGCAATATAATATATTCTGTGAGCAATTGAAGCCTGTGTTACTTGGATTCAGGCCTTTGAATATTACACACGGTCTTATTAGTTTTCCTTTTCCCAATCATAAAATGACCAATTTTATTTTCTCAGGTGCCCCAATCTTCATGACGTCGCCTCACTTTTTGTACGCAGAATATTATCTAGATTTTGTTGAAGGCTTGGAACCAAATGAAGATGATCATGCCACTCCTTTAGTTTATGAACCTGTGAGTTCTTTTATGTTTTTACATCAGTAATCAATGTTTTATTTTTCCACTATACTGTAAATAGGCGCAACACATACAAATTGCAATCAATTACAAACATAAGCTGTTAAATAAAAAGTCCAACTATGTATGTTAATTGAAAAACCTTAAAATACCTTGATGCGATCTGCTATAGCCAGCAGGTGCTCGCTTCAACAAAATAAAAATGACTCCAAACACCACTAACTCGGTAACCATGGAGATTGCAGTAGTGAGGTCTTACAGCACAAATATTTACCTTCAAAGATTGTTGTAACCACTATCATATATGCTTTCCATATGCCCTGGTTAAAAAGCGACTTTCTCAATCTCAGATTCTACATGAATTCAACATAGGATAAGATTTATCTTGGAAGAGAGGAAAGTCGATAAGAGGGCTTAAGCATACGTCGAACCACTGCCTCTCATCCAGTTAACAGTCCATGTCGGGTATGGGTTAGTTTGCCAGTTATCTGTTTTCAAATGCATGGACTTTATGGTGTAGAAAGCTGTATCCGACCTACAGCGTACGTAAAGCAACCCATAGCGGCGAGGAGTCCGGCAATACTCTCGCACATAATCAACCCCTCATGAGATTCAAGCCTGCGAACCCATGCAGGTTAATCAGAGGTGTGGTAGCGAGTGTCATCCTATGCTTAGCACAATGTGCCACAACGTCGAACATGTTCTATTTGCTGTTTTCAGAGCACAGGGATCTGTATCAGAGCTGACAAAAGGTTGCAAATCAACATGTACATGATGCCATTTGAACATTATGAGTAAGTTTGTATTTATTCTCTCTCATTTTTAGAAATGACAAATAAGGGTACTCCCGTAGTATGTGAACCAAGATGTCGGACCATGAAACGTAGTATGTGTACAGGTTGAGGTTAGCTTAGGCCATAATTTCAGGCACAAATACCACGGGAGTCACTTGGCTAGTCTGTGAACACGTAATAGAACTAATATAAAAAATATTGAAATAAAATTTAACCTGCTACATATACTATGTTCCGGTGTCTGCCATCTTGGTTCACATACTAATAGGCAGGGCTGCGCGTGTACTTTCAAACTACCAGTGGATTAAAATTTGGAATATCCCAGAGTCGGAAGTTGGAATTCCTTATATATTCAATTGTGAAACAGAGTTTTTTGAGTTTGCTGAGCATTCCGAACAGCCTATTGAAAAAGACTTGCATACCAGAAGACGTACCCAGGCAGATTTTAGGGTTGAAACCTCTCCTCCTCCTCGCCCACCTTTTTGAAATCTAAAAACAATTTCTGTATCATGCATAGCAATTTTTCGTAGCTTGAGATTTAGATCCGCTAGCAGTCACGGTCTAATTCAGGGGTTCTCAACCTTTTCCCTGTTAAGTACCCCCCGAGGTCACGAAACAATCAACGCGAACCCCCAGTAATCATACACTAAACTAAATTGTGATATATTGACTTACAATTTGCTGCAACGACTGCCAAGCCGTGCATTTCACATTTTTGTGTCACAATCACAACAACGCAAGATCAGGGAAAATGTACGCCGAGTTTCAATTGGCAAATATTGTCCTCTTGTAGTTACTTTCTTTGTTAAAGGATATTAAAAAAAGCAACACATGAAAACTCGATTGTCATCCAAGTACCCCTGGAAATCTTCTCGTGAACCCCTGGAGGTTCGCGAACCCCAGGTTGAGAACCCCTGGTCTAATTGGTAATTAGAAATTACAGGACCCCTCTCCCCTCTTTGAAAAATCTTGGCTACGTCCCTGTTGCATACGCCAAAGTTCGACACTGCCGAGTCTAAATATATTTTTTACTTTTCAGCATCATGAATAAATTCCCTGACATGTACTACGTTTTCCCGATTCTCTGGTTGAACGAATCTTACATTGTAAGTGATGATGACGCAGCTTCTATGTACAGGTGAGTACAATGACCTGGTTGTGAGAGTGTTTGAGTCACAAGCTAAAGATTAAGAGATTATGGTTTTTGGTAGCTACTTATGCATAAGTGGAGGCTGTCTGATTGCCAATGAGACTCTAGTCAGGGATTGAGTCGACTTCAGGCTTGAAAGAACAGTGACGAAAACTTTATACCTAAGCTAACCATATGTCCCGGTTTAGTCGGGACAGTCCCAATTTCGATAAGATGTTCCGGCGTTCAGTCCAGTAGACTCAAATGTCCCGGTCATGCAGAATGGCAGTTTCATTTATTTTTATTTAATATTGATACCAATTTTTTTTTTTAATTTTTAAGTGCAAGCATTAGATGATTTATGGGTTTAATATTACTAAGCATCGTAATTGGCCCAAAGATGAGTATAATCCGCAAAGTCCCAGTTAATTGTTTTGTATATATATGGTAAGCCTACTTATAGCCAGCACTAACAAGCCAACTCTAGCAGTGATTCCAATAATGCATCATGTTTTGTTATTTACTGAAACTCTCCTCACAGGTACTTAGTCCAACCAGGAGAATCATTTGCGATCACTCAAATCGTTTTCTGCATTGTTGGGTCAGTCCTACTTGTTGCTGTCATATATTTTGCCGCAGTGATGCATTTTAATGAGAAGAATAAAGGAAATGATATTGTAAGTATTTACTTTCTGGGGGAGAGGAAAACCTATAAGTTGGTATTTTATGAGACACTTATACGCCTTCATTCAGAACAAAGCTTTCTACAAGCAGCTACTGGTACTTAAGGATCTTAATCAAAGTTTCCTCTGAAGTGCACAACTGACCATTCGCGCAGTAAAATCCCATTCTTGCGCATTTGCAACATTATATTTCAAACTGTGGCCAAGATGGCGCACAACCGGAACATAGTATGTGTACCAGGTTAGGGTTCAGGTTATACGCCATCTTGGTGCATCCTTTGAACATTCCTGGCAACGCCACTGGTGTAGGAAAACATTATGGAAAGTACATTGGAATAGACTTTATTCTTCTGACATTGTATTTTTGGTTTAGTCTTCTGAAGACTATGAAATAAAACAAGAAAAAACGAAATATTCTCCATCAAATGGGAACACTTATTATGACAACGGGGGAATGGAGATGAAGGAAGATGTTCCTGAAGATAAAACAGGTAGATTTGAGTTCTGATATTTAGCCTGGATGGGAGGAAAGCTGAAAAAACTGGCTGATGCATATGGCGAACCACGGCCTCTCGTTGAGTTACTAGTCAATGTTGGTTATGGGAATGGTCTAGCACAGCGGTTCCCTGAGCATTTCGAAGAAAAATCAGGCAGAGATGAGCTTTTGCTATTAATCCATTGGGCCTACATGTTTACAAACGTTAAAAAACATAAAGTACACAATAAAAATCACAAAATTGAGTGTCATTTAAAAGCAGCAATTATTCTTTGTGTAGGAACGCCGTGAGTTTTTTTCTAATAATTTGACCCCACAGGAAGAAAAAGTTTGGGAACCGCTGATCTAACAGTTATTCACTTAAGACCAGGGGTGTGCAACAGGCCGCCTGCAGGCCACCACCCAAGCCGCTAATCCATTCAGTGTGGCCCGTGTCAAAACTCAGATTTTCCCTCATAGAGTTAAAATCTTAATCCGACAGGCTTATATTTGAAAAAGCGCTCACCTGGACAAAAATACATGTTTTTTCGCTATTGTAGCCGCGATAAATCTTCCCCCGTTTTGCCATAAAGTCCCTTTACAACTTTGTTATGAAGTCAGTTCTCAATATATCTTAACCAGGTTTGTTGTTTTTAATCAGTAATTGTTTAAGTATTTTTACTTCATTCAATACATCTATGAGGGCCAAAACAATATATTGTATCGATAAATTCCCTTTGCAATTTTAAAAAATTTGAGACCTCATGGACAATCTATATTTCTCATTGAACACAAATGCGTTATTGTTGCTTTTATTTTTGCTGGCGGTCTCGTTAAAAACGCCTGTATTTGAGTGTTACTCTTTCCTTTCAGAATATCGAGCTTACGAGAATGTGGAAAAAGATGTTCCAGTAACTCAATTATAGAACTCTTCAAATTTTTGAAAAAATTTCAAAGACAATTTCTGAAGTCATCATTCGCTTTATTGAGATTAATTGACCAAAATGTTTTTAATAGTTTTATTCTTCTTATTATTAAGGTACGTCTTACAGTTTGAGATGTCCAAAGAAATGGTATTTCTCCATAAGTTAATTTCAGTGGTGAGATTCAATTTTTTTGTCAGCCGGTTCCATCACAAAAGTTATATTTTTCACCCGGTTCTGTTACAAAAAGTCATTGACAGTAACCATTAATGCTAACCGGTTTGCTGATCTCATAAAATTCTGTGAGACGGTTCTATAGAACCGGTGCGAACCGGTTGAATCCCACCACTGGTTAATTTGTAGCAGGGCCAGAGTGGCTCTAGCTCCGTAGCTTCATTTTTCACTTTCCAAATATTTTGGTATGACCGCTACCATGAAACAACATCCCAAATGCAGTTTTATGGTAACATGATTCAAAGTCATGATGCGAAGGATTTAAAAATTTTTAAGAGTTAACCATTAATATAAAATATGATTTGAAGGTGTTGAATCAATATATATATACAATAAAGTCCCTCCACAATTTCAATTTTGTTATGAAGTCATTTCTCAATATACCTTAACCATGTTTGTTGTTTTTTAATCAGTAATTGTTCAAGTATTTTTACTTCATTTAATACATCTGTGAGGGCCAAAACAATATATGGTATCGATAAATTCTCTCTACAATTTCAAAATTTTTTAAGACTTTATGGGCATCCTATATTTGCTGAAAAAGATAGATTTTTCATTTGTTTCAAGTATTAGAAAATTATGACAATGAAAAAATAATTCGATCAACTTGGCCGCTAAAATTGCTAGTTGCTCTCATTCCAGGACCCCAACCCTAATTTGTATCAGTCATAGCTCAGACCAACCCTCAAGAAAACGGTATAAATCTGTACATAGGCACTGGTATGTATTGCGAAGACTGTCTGTATTCATTTGACTCTCAAGCCCTCTTGATTTAATTTATTGTTTTGTATCGTTGTTTCCTGTGGTCTCGAATTGCCAAAATAAAATAAGACCAAATATGGATCATAGTAGAAGTGCCCTAAATTATGATCAATTCAACAGACTTATGAGGCACCTATTGGGTGCCACGAGAAGTCCTCAATATTGTCATGACCCCAAAGAGACACTTCACGCTTTCAAAGCCAGAATCTTTCCAGTTCATTATTAGCTATCTAATACAGGTGTGTGGAACCTGCCGCCCACAAGAAAAAATTGTGCAGCCCGCTGAGAAGTGCCGAGTACTGGGTACAATTTATTATCTGGCATGCCTATAACTTCACAATGCCTCAACAGCTAGCTTATACAAACAACGCATGGCCAAAGATCAATAACCAAAATTTTTGTGCTTGCAAGTTGCAACTGCTGGATAACCTATGTTAAAAATAAAGGTGTGGCCCGCTGTTTCACCCAGTTATTTCTATCTGGCCCTCCTGTATTAAAAGTTGCACACCCCTGATCTGATATATAATAACCTTCACCGATGTGGAGGTCATGGGATTTTGAACCTGACACAGCACCCCAATAAACTCACAAAACAAAATTCTTTCAGTGATCCATTTATTTACTTCATTTTTCAATATACTTAAATATTAGAATGCTTTAAAGTGATCCCCAAACTGTGGCCCATTATGGTACCTTTTACACTTTGACTGTCAATTTACATTCTAGATACCGCCAATATTGTTACATCTAGGGTCACCATATTTGAAAAAGCAAAATTCCGGACAGTCCATGACTATTTTCATGTCCTCGTATTAAAAAAATATGCGCACGGTACGAAATAACAATGTTCTGTATTAGCAGTGTGCACAGTACGATTGCAGATGCAGTAAAATTCCGGATTCCGGACATTTGAGCATTTTTTAAATTCTTCCCGGACGCAAAATTGAGCCCTAAATTCCGGACATGTATGGCAACCCTAGTTACATCATTATCGAGTATATTCTTAACAATTCAATTATACTGGATCTTAATTATACGTACCGGTATTAGGATCACATACAAGAAGCGCCTTTGCAGGTGCTCCCTTCTCCCGACCAGCGAATATCCTTACGCTTCTAATTTTGTCCCCGGTCAATTAATTTGGGAACCACTTCTTTAACGTTCAATACAAAGAATTTAATTTATTCAATCATGCCACAAGAATGAAAATCTGTATTTTTTATTTATCATTTCAAAATTTTATTTCTTGCTTCAACCATCAGATATGCAAATTTGTGTAAAATAAATTTTTCATGATCAGCGAATCGTTTCTGTCAATTCTACAGAATATCAGCCAAGCGAGGTGCCAGCAAATTTACAATTAGATGAGACAAGATTATTGCAGTACTTTTTGCACGCTTCTGACATGGCCCTGTGTTTAAGCATGTACTGATATCTCACGATAAGTGAGATTTAGGAGGGAGGGGACGGGAATCAGAGGCAACCCAGATGGGGTTTGGGGGGTCAAAACATGTAAAAAAAGGGGTCTCATGTAGTTTCGTACCTAACGTACTTCTAGTGGGCATAGCATAACAATTTTTTCATGTGTCAATCCTGAGCCCCACCATCCAACGACGCCACAGTGACGTAATAGAGCCCTTCAAACTATACGAACTGTCATCCAAGACGCGCAGACGAGAACCCGAAATAGAACAGCCATCTCTCTAGAAGTAGGTCAGGTACGAAACTACATGAGACCCAAAAAAAAAAGCATCTGTATGAGAATCATACATAGCAATCTTTCGTAGCTTGAAGCCATTTTCAGACCCTCAAGACTTGAAGACACCTGACTGTCACGGACTAACTTGTCAATTAGGAATTTCAGAATAACATCTTCGAAAGTTCCTGGCTATGCCCTTGAGCCACCGCACCAGCCACGAGAACCAATCAAAATTGACTTTGTGTGTTCAAGTTTATATATTTCGTTTTGAATAACAATATTTCAAAATTCGATTGAGATAAGTCAAATTTAATTCATACATGTCAGATAAACGATCAGAGTAGTATTGTTGAAGGAAAAATGAATAAAAAAACACTCTTAATGGTTGAATTATATCTGAGTGGAATCTTCAGTACTCCCGTAGTATGTGTACCAGGTTAAAGTTAGGCCATAACTTTATTCGGATTTTCCATATTTAGTTCTATTATGAGTTCGGGCACTGTCTGTGTTAGCCAAGTGAATATACCCCCTGCCCACATGTTTCAGTCCTTTTATACAACTTCTGTAAAGTAGGCGAACAATATTAGTTACCTCCATATTGGTACATGCACTTCTGGAGCGCCGAATCTAATATGAAGAAATGTTTGAAATAAACTTTCGACCAGAGGAATCTGCTTGGTGACATTTTGATGGGTCCTGTCCCTCAATCAAAGGATTTTGGTTGTGCGACCATGTCGTAGGCCAGCAAGGTATCTCTTTACCCGGGGGCATTCCCAGGGGGAGGGGGGTCAGAACCCCCCTTTTAAATTGTGAAAAAAACGTATTTCTGTAATCTGTATCATACTTAGCAATTCAAGCTTTCAAGACCTTTAGGACTATTGAAAACCCAAATCTCCACCAGCTGTTAAAGTCCTGTCAATTAGAAAATTTCAGAACTTGCTATGCCCCCGTCTTCGCTATTCATATGGTAAGCAGACGTCGTTTAATTTTGACTCGTACAAAAAATCATGAAAAGGTACATGTCGCACAACTGTCTTAAGCTAGCATAACACTATAATCCGGCCCGCGACGCTTCACTAAATTATAGTAATAAAACATCCGGTTTGACGAATATATTCTTTAGACCAAATTATATTATAACCTAACAATTATATATTTCACAATTACTCGTTTATTGAGCATATAATTTAATTATAATAATTAGGCAAATGGCAACAAAACGCAGAAAAGTTGATGCAAAGGGTTCAATGGCGCTGAAAATATTCAAATGGAATTTTATGAGATGCAATGAGGGAATAAATCTATATCCTATTCGAGAGATGTATCACTGCTTGATTTTTATTATAAAAAGCACCATCCGTTCGGTTTTTCAACTTTCTAAAAATATGTGCGGCCCGCTAATGACTTGCAACCTTAATTTAGGCCCGCGAGCGACGAAAGGTTGCCGACACCTGGTTTAGTGCCTCTGCTAATCATATATTTATTTGGTACAAATGCTGTTACAGTTTACAGCAAATAACCATACATGCAAACAATCTAACAAAGGTAGACTGTCTGGTATTGTTAAGAAGAATCATCACTAGAATATGATGACTCATCATTTTGTTCATCATCATCACTTTCGGAATTTGCTGAGTCATCATTGTCATTGATAGTTTTCATTTTTCGCCACAAGGTGTCATCTTCCCCATCCAAAATTTCGTTGTCAAATTTACGTTTTCGAGTTTGCTCCGCTTCTTTTTCTGCATCAGCGGCTTTTCGCGCATCAGCGATAAAATCAAGATCACTGAACATGAGACAATTTAATCTCGCTTTCAAATAAACTTTATATTCCAATTTACCAGTGTTTATATTATGGATCCGTAAAAATCTATCGAGACCACACGAGGCAATATAATCCAATGTAGGGTGGCATTCGAGGCATCGTACACCCCCCGCTAATCCCTTGAAAGAACGAACCAATCCCTTTTTACGTAAGTCGAACATTCCGACCATACCTCGGGTGTTTCCAGCTATGACTTGATTCTCGTTGTGCGTCAAAGAGACAGCAGTAAGCGGATATTCATCAAATTTCATTTCTATAACCGGCCTTCGCTGTTCAGCTGCAGTATCATACAATCTAACTTGACTTTTCCCGGTACATGTTACAATTTTGGACGAATTTTCGAAAAAACGAATTCCTGTGACCCAAATAGGGACTCTGAGTTGTAACCAGTCATGTGGAACATTTTTCGCTTTAAAAATCGGGTTTTCTAAACTTTCAGAATCAAAAACTTTCAAAGCGTTTTCTTTACCACCGGAGGCAAACTTACTTTTATCTTTATTAAAGACAACATCATGGATATTAGGCCCTAAATTACTGTTTTGTATAATTCCCGACGTATTTTCTTGATTTTTCCAAACCAAGAAATTTCCTTTTGTAGTACAAGTAACGAAGGATTCATCATGTTTGTAGATTCTTACTAACTCATCAGACGAGGTATCAAATTCGGGGATTGGAATTGGGGGGTTAAACTGCCCCGTATTGTAGTCAAATTGTCTTATTGTGCCACATTTATGTCCCGTGTAAATCTTAGAGCTGCCACTACCCTCCCGACACATTGAAATAATTTCCTGTTCTTTCCCGATATTTGATTGATCGTAATAATTCGTTGCAACTTTTCCGACAAGATCAACGGCTTTTAGGATTCCAGGTTCTGATCCGAGCCAAACGTTCACTGATTTTGGTTTTTCCATTTTCAGAGTTAAAATAGAATGTAGAGTTTTCTATAATAACCCACTGCGAAAATAAGAGATTTTTTCATGATTTACGTTCAGAACATGTACCCATACAAAGAAAGGCTTCTAATTTTGGAAATATATGGATGTCCCGGATTCTCCATTGCACATTCTATTTAATACACCCTTGTTGAAAGTTAAATGAGTGAATGCAACTTGAGGTTAAAGATTTAAAAATAACGATCCCGATATGAGAAAGCCTGCTGGCGTTATTGAGATCGGTATCGTCGGCGCAGATGCCATTTCGGACAATAGAAGCTATACTTGGCAAGACTTGACTTAGCAAGAATGAGAACTAGGCACATCATTTAGTTATTGAAGAATTTCTCAATCATCTACTTTCACACTCTGACACTTCACTTTTGAGATATTCGGCTAGTGTTTTTGACTCGGTGCATGGTGCTAAACTTTAGCAATACGCTTGTCACTGGCTAACTAATCACATACCAGTCTGCCAGTACAGGACATGGACTGGCAACCCGACAAGAAGCGGGTCTGGTATAGTTTAGTACCACATGCACTTCTAGTTGGCCTGGCTCAACAATTTGGGTCTCATGTAGTTTCGTACCTAACGTACTTCTAGTGGGCGTAGCATAATAATTTTTTCACGTGTCAATCCTAACCCCCTTCCTGACCACACCATCCAAAAATTACGTCACCACGACGTCACAAATTAGGCCCTTCAAATTATGCAAACCGTCATCCAAGACGCACGGACGAGAACCCGAAATCGAACAGCCATTTCTCTCGTTTTCTCGTCGCACCGATTCCAATAGGAGAGAGATCGCCGGCTTGAGCGAGTTCGTTATCAATCGGCGGCGCAGATGCCATTTCGGACGATTGTAATTATACTTTGGCAAGCCTGTTGACTGTATGACGTGATGGTGACGTCGTAGTGCAGTAGTGACGTAATTTTTTGAATGACATAGTCAGGTGGGGATTAGGAATAACATATGCCAAATTCGTTATGCTACGCCCACTGGAAGTACTTGTGGTACTAAACTATACTAGACCCGGACTCATATATGGTTAGCAGCCAATTGGGAATACTGGTACGGTAGAGGAATAGTTAACCAGTTATTTCAGTATTTGTTTCATACTTTCAGATGCTTGAATGAAGTTGACATTTAGTAGGGTCCCTTGACAGATTGGATTAGTGACTTGAGTGTTTGGGAATCGTTCTTTCGGGTCTCGTGTAGTTTCGTACCTAACGTACTTCTAGTAGGCGTAGCAAAACAATCTTTTGACATGCCAATCCTAACCCTCACCTGACTACGCCATCCAAAAATTACGTCACAATCACGTCATAGAGGTTGCCAAATACTAGTACGATCGCCCGAAATGGCATCGGCGCCGACGATAAAGAACGATTCCAATAGGAGAGAGACCGATAACGTCAGTCAGTTCTTTATCGTCGGCGCCAATGCCATTTCGGTCGATCGTGCGTATATTTGGCAAGCTCTATGATGTGATTGTGATGTCGTAGTGATTTAAGTTTTGGATTGCGTAATCAGATGGGGGTTAGGATTGACATATCAAAGAATTGTTATGCTACGCTCACTAGAAGTACGTTAGGTACCGGTACGAAACTACACGAGATCCCTTTTCTCTACCCAGGATAAATATGTAAATCCTATCCGTTTCAAGCACATTCTACAAAAAAACTACAACAACAGGTAGAAAAAACTACTCCCAAACACTCAAGTCACTAATCCAATCTGTCAAGGGACCCTACTAAATGTCAAGTTCATTAAAGCATCTGAAAGTATGAAACAAATACTGAAATAACTGGTTAACTATTCCTCTACCGTACCAGTATTCCCAATTGGCTGCTACATGATCAAGCCGCATTACCTCATTTATCTGTAAAAATCTTGAAAATCCGACTCGTCCCATATATCCCAGCAATGCACAATTACGGCCATTAACTCACTTACTGTGTGACACGTGAGTTTCACTGCGAGTTGACAAATGCACTATACGTACTCGCTAGGTAGCGGTATGGAGTCGCCGACGACAAGATTTCAATTTGGGTGAAATTGGATAAGATTTTCAGTAATCAGTAGTTTATTTTTCACTATGCTAAAAAAGCACTCGTAGCATACAGATTACGATAAGTTATATATGAAGAAATTGCCGTCCCTGGTGAGGTGAGACGAGGAAAACCAATATTGGTTACGAAACAGCGGCATCCATAAGAGAGAGAAAGATATTTCTATCTCATCAACCAGAAATATTTTAGGACCTTTTTCAGTGAAAATTCTCCAGCTATTTTCTTAGATAATAGGAGAAACCATAGATAACAAGATAAATGTAAGCTATATTGGGGTAAGTGAGCACGTGCATCAGCACGTCTTGAATATTTATTAGTTTTCGCCCACTTTTCTGATTTTCCGCACATTCTTTTGTTTTGACGTGTATTGCTTCATTGTTTTGTTGTACCGGGAAATCGAAATACACACTTACTATGTATTTGATCTCTTCATAGAACGCGAATAGCATTCAGAGATTAGCGCCGAAGAAAGTATGTAAACGTAAAAAGGCTTGGATCTTATATCAAACATCATGATGAAAATTCACGCCATTTCTTGTTGGACACGTAGTGGACATAACGATCGTTTCAATATTATGTTGTTGTTGTTCTTGTTCTTTGACACGTTTTTAAAAAGTCGCTTTTCTCTTCGAATACTGGACCAATTGCTTTGAAATTTTCAGTGGTTAAAGATAAAAATTTTCTCCAGAAGGCTATTACTTTTTTTTCGCTATGACGTCATCAAAATTATGTGACTCTACGTGTCCATATATTTGAGCATAGCTCTCTTGTTTTTAAGGTAATTCTGTATATGTCTGACCCTGATTCCAGGCAAATTCGTGCGCGTTATTTCAATCATTTAAAATTTTAAAGTATATATATATATATATTTATAGTACTGGAAAAATTTACTCTTCATAATAAATATAAGTTTATTTTGACTCCACACTCAGAAAAAAATGATAAAAAATTGTTCAAAACGAAATAAAACTAATTAGTTTTGGTGATCATTATAAAAGTATCTGTATGTCTGTATCTCCTTTGCTTTGACTGCTACTGACATCCCCATTTTCCTACGCTGATACTCGTGCATTCACTTCTTGCTATCTATGCTGTAAGAACACCGGCCACAAGCCTTAATTAAAAAAAATAAAAAATACATTGACACCTCGCACCTATACGTTTATCATGGTCTACTTATCTATAATGTTGTAAACCAGGCAAACTTTATGTACTTGCGGGCTAAATATACACATTTCCGGTAGAGTGCGAGCCGCATTAAGTTCTGCCTGCGAACAATCGCCACACTAAACTTTAAATTATTGCGCACATCCACCTTCTATTGCTGCGTTAAAAGGCTGCCACAATGATACGTGTATGTGGCCCTTTTTAAGGTAGCCTACTCTCGAAGTATGTGAACCAAGATGGCGGACATCGGAACGTAGTATGTGTAGGTACCAAGTTAGGGTTAGGTCATAATTTTGGGTACAAATAGTCACTTGGCTTGTCCCCGAACTCGTAATAGAACTAAAGTTATTCCCTAATTTTAACCCCATACACATACTACGTCCGGGGTGTCCGCCAACTTGATTCACATACTTCGTGAGTACCCTTTTTAATATGTTATACAACAATCCATTGTTTTTATTTACTTATCGGCGCGGCGGTGTGGCGTAACGGGCTAAGCGTTAGGAATACGCTCGCCACCGCACCTCTAACTACTCTGCGTGGGTTCGCAGGTTCGAATCCCATGCAGGGATGGTTATGTGCGAGAGGATTGCTGGACTCCTCGCCGTCGTTGGGTGGTTCACGTAACCGCTGGTAGGTTACGGCTTCCTTCACCACCAAGTCCATGCTTCCGAAAACAAACAATACAGTAAATCTAATCCCATACCCGACTTGTAATGGTAACCGGACGAGAGGCCGTGGTTCGCCATATGGATAAGCCGTCTTATCGGCTTTCCTCTCCCCCGGGATAAATATGTAAATCCTATCCTATCCTATCCTTATCATCGATGTGAAGGGTGATGTTGTTTCTGTGTTGACCAAAGCGTTAAAATCAAAATGACAACTTCGCTGCCCCGTAGCACCTCATCCGAATGACAATCTGACAAGCGAATACGAAATTTATTGTTACTGTAATCAGGGGCGGATTAACCAGTAAACAATATAAGCTCGTGCTTAGGGCACCATGCAAAGGGGGGCACCACAGAAATTTTTATAACAGAATTTTCAATAGTTCATCGGTGTTTAATAAAATATTACGAGTTGGTCAGACAACTCAGACTTGTTCGTATTTTCTTTTCCTCAAGCATCATATTAAGCTTCTCGATTAATGTTTGGAGGTTTGCGACCTTTATTTTTAAAAAATCGTGTACATCAATGGACCTTTCCCCGACCTTTGACTCCCGAAAAATTCTTCTTATACTTTACCATTGCAAAATTTCCGGGGCTTATTTTAGCAGTGGTTTCGCGAGTTGGCCCCTGTAAAATGGGGTTTTTGTTGAAACTATCATTATGTTTCATCGCGTACAATAATCACCTTTTTATAAGTACCGGTAAGGAATTTTAGCCTAGTCTACCACAGCTATTTTTACACCAATTTTCATTACTGCAATTGAATTAAAACTTATAAAAAGACATGGTGATCATTTAATTACCTGATTTATACTCAAATTTCCGAAACACAACTGAAAACTAATGAATAGAGTTAAAAAACGCGAAAACGAGGTAATGTTTACAACCATGCCTGAAAATCTGTCTGAGTGAGAAAAGTGTCTGAGCGGATGCGAAAAGGGTGCATTGTTACGTCACTTTTTGCATCTTGCTGATTGGCCAATTACTCGAAGTCAACAAGGAGGTTGATGCTCGGGGAAAGATACATTAGTGATAGGCTTACCATACGTCCCGCTTTAGGCGGGACAGTCCCGATTTTCAGCGTTTTGTCCCGCCGTCCCGATAAGTCAGCCAAAAGTCCCGCTTTTCCAGCATGATACACAAACATGTTCTCGTTACTGTTGTTTCTGTGAAGCGCAGCGCTAGCCTGCTTACTGAAGGTGAATGCGTTCGTTTCCCGCTGTTTCCCATTGATGGCAGACGTATCGCATGTAAAACCAATACTAATTAGTCTAAATTCGAATTATTTGTACCGGTATCGTTAACGTCAATTCCTTCCTATTTTTCGAACTGAACCCGATATTTGGACAGAGAATATGCGCATAAAATACCGATAACAATATGGTCAATAAAAACAGCCGGGACAGCTTTAAATGTAGGAATGTAGGCCTATGTAATAAAATCGGAAAATGTGAAGTTACAAAATGTTGTCTTTTGAGGCGTCCCGATTTGACGTCACAAAAATATGGTAACCCTAATTAGTGATGAACACTGAAACTTACTTGTCGAAAGTTTGGTGTGGCGACACAATGAGCATATATACAATGAGTATATATGCTCATTGGGCGACATCATCAAAATTAAAAATGGCGCACTATGTGGCGGTTTCGCGATCGCATTTCAGCGATCTAGAGGTCAGCGAAGTTGGGGAGTTTTCTGGTAAGGTAGACTAGCCAGTGATTCCCAAAGTGGGCGATATCGCCCCCCGGTGGGCGATAACGATACAGAGAGGGGCGAAAAAGTCGAAGGGGGCGATAGGGGGGCGATTTCGCGAAACCTTTTTTTGCTCGGCGCACAGTGCACTTAATTCTGTACTCTGTGTGCATTCGCAGGCTTGAATCTCGTTGTCGATTATCACACGCGAAAGGATTGCTGGACTCGTCTCCGCAGTAAGGTACTGTAGTTTGCGTATCCCAGTGGTTGGCAAAATACGGCCGGAATAAAAAAATCTGGCCCGGGACGATTCACCGAATGGACCTATCCCCGACCTTTGACCGCGGAAAATTCTTCCTATACTTTACCATTTTAAAATTTTCAATGCTTATTTTAAGAGTGGTTTTGCGAGTTGATGGCTGTGTAAAATGGGGTATTTGTTTCAAACTATCATCATAATTCATATCATTCAACAATCTGTTTTTTAAAAGTACCGCTAAAATTTTTTAGCCTAGTCTATCACAGCTATTTCTACACCAATTTTTGATTACTGTATTTAAAATGAAACTCATAGGAAGACAAAGTAATCATTGACGTGTGGCGTACCAAAATTGATATCACCACTCAGGTTCTTTCTGCCAGCTTATCGGACACTGAAGTTGCAATAGATGTCGTTCACAAAACAATCTTCTTGCGGTTCCAATTACAGCAGAGTAACTAAGTTAACTAACTAGATTAATTATACACCTGTAAGAACTTAATACAACCAAATACTCCAATAAGAAATACAATAAACAAATAAAAACATGAAAAACACAGTACAAATACCGTAGGATACATACGTAACACAAGATACGGAATTGGTCTATGACGTCACAGTCATGGACTATTTACTTAAAATGGGATACTAAAAACCGGGTAAAACATACCTAGATATACATAAGAATAACTAGTATGACACTAAAGATACAACACAAATCCTATCTTATCGACAAACACGTAATATACATGGAAATACGCATAGAAATCACACAGGAAATAAACTGCGAAAATAGACTAGTTACGGAAGTGTTAAATACGAGCTAACTAGTGAACAAAACTATGCCAAACTGGAGAAATAGTAAACCTGTACTACTAATATCATTTCACAACAAGAATTACACAGATTAACGGCACGAAAACACTATAATAATAACCCAATATACAGAGGAAATATCTACACTACCGGCAGTCTGACAGACCAGCAGAAAGAGAAAGTTACACAGCTGCTCACTAATGACTCAAGTGTTAAGAATAAATATTGACATACAAAATAAAACAGAGTTATAGACGTGGTCGTCTCATTACTCCCCCCTTTTTCAGATGGGAAATTACAAAGAAATT